AGCAGCAGAACTCAGCAAGGAAGGGCGGCGCGGTAGCGAGTGTCACTAGTGCGGAGGTGCGTAATGAGGTCAGCAACAGTGGGAAAGGCAGAGAGGTCAGGAAAGAGGTAGGGAAGCATGAGACGGCTCAGTGCAGCAGTGGCAGGGGAGGAGTAGCGCGCAACTACAGCGTCGTACAAGGTCTGAGCACTCTTGTACTGACTAAAGTGCGCACGCTCAGAGGTAGGGAGGTGGCGACGCACAGCAAGACGTGCAGCAGCATCGCGGGTGGCCCACTGAGAGCGGACAGTGGGATCAGCATCAGCAGCAAGAACAGGAGAGGCGCCAGAGGTGAGGTCAAAGAGAGAAAGGTCGTCAGCCCTGTCGCACTGTAAGAACAGCTGCAGGTCGTCTAACCAGACCTCAAAATCAATGGCGCGACCCTCAGCGTCAAAAGCTAGGACACTAGGGGTAGCCATGGCGACGACAGCGACGCAGTGCAAGCAGTAGGGAAAGAGCTCGCAGTGTCAGTGGGACTGTGCTCACCAGGCAGGGCAGGTCGTGCAGTTCTGCAGAAAGGCGGCTCAGCGACCGGGCGGCTCGGGTGCACAGCGGCTCGGCTCCCGGGCGGCTCGGCGGCTGGGCGGCTCGGGCGCAGGGCGGCTCGGCTCCCGGGCGGCTCGGCGGCAGGGCGGCTCGGGTGCAGGGCGGCTCGGCTCCCGGGCGGCTCGGCGGGAGGGCGGCTCGGGTCCCGGGCGGTTCGGCTGCTGGGGCGGCTCGGCCGGGAGATGCAGGGGCGGGGCCGTCAGGTGCAGCGGCGGGTCGACCGGTGCAGCGGCGGGCCGGCAGGTGCAGCGGAGGGGCCGTAGGGTGCAGCGGCGGGGCCGACCAGGTGAGGCGGCGGGCCGTAGGGTGCAGCGGCGGGCCGTAGGGTGCAGCGGCGGGCCGGCAGGTGCAGCGGCGGGGCCGTCAGGTGAAGCGGCGGGCCGCTGGGTGCAGCGGCGGGCCGGCAGGTGCAGCGGCGGGCCGGCAGGTGCAGCGGCGGGGCCGTCAGGTGAGGCGGCGGGCCGTAGGGTGCAGCGGCGGGCCGTAGGGTGCAGCGGCGGGCCGGCAGGGCCGCGTCAGAGGCGGCGGCGGGGCCGCGGCAGTGGAGGCGGCGGGGCCGCGTCAAGCAGGCGGCGGGGCCGCGACGAAGCGGGCGGCAGGGCCGCGTCAGAGCCGGCGGCGGGGCCGCGTTAGTGGAGGCGGCGGGGCCGCGTCAAGCAGGCGGCGGGGCCGCGATCAGGAGAGGTGGCGGGGGCCGCGTCTGAGGGACAGCGGGGCCGCGAGGGAAATGGCGACCCGAGGGGTCGCTAAAAAAAAAAGGCGCGCCTCGGGGCGCGCTTCGGTGTGCCCTAAAAAAACGGTCCTAAGGAAGGACCCGCTCTATACCATGTGGAACAAGTGAACAGGAATGGGAATGACTAAGTCAGAGTTGGGTACAAATACAACCCTAGAAAGCTGTACCCCAGATGTGCTACCCCACTATAGCCTACAAACATGCATCAGCTATAATACTCTGACAGGGCACAGTGGGGACTACACCTCGGCATCGAGAAAAATTACAATGCGTGGAGAATCTTCGACGTCCACACAAAAGAAACAGTAGCAGCACGTGATGTGATCTTCTACGAACGACTCACCCTTCAGACGTACCTCGCCAACTTGCACGAGAATCAGGACCTCACCGGTGGCTTTCGTGGTGACCGAGCCTTCGCGTCAGCAGCGGATGAAGCAGACTGGGATGAGCAGAACGTCGACAACGCATCGGAGGAAGCCGGACCTCTTCCGTACTGCTCCGTCGACGTGCCCATGGATGAGGAAAATCCTCGCGACAGTAACAACGCCGAAGTCTTCTACCATTTCGCCGACAATGGCTACGTAACACCTGCGACAGTCAACACCAACGAAGCAGAAAGGGTAGGGCCTAATTTCATACCCGACCCAGAAGTGGGAGACGAAGCAGCTTATCCCGAGGATCCAGAACTCCCTCGATACTCACAGACTGGACTGCAAATCCTTGGTCTCGTCACCGCAGTCCATGGCGCCGCCATACCTAAGGAGCCTGCGACGGTTTCAACAGGCTCTGGAGGGGGAACATAGGGAGAAATGGCGTGAAGCCATGGACAAAGAGCTGAAGGCACTGGAGGAGCGCAACACCTGGAAAATCGTTCCCATCGGCGTAGCACAAAACAAGACTATCCTTACCGGGAAGTGGGTCTTCCATGTGAAGACGAAAGCTGACGGCACCATCGACAAATTCAAAGCTCGCTGGGTCGTGCGCGGCTTTGACCAGGAGCACGGAAGAGATTACACCGAAACCTTCGCTCCGGTCAGCCGTCACACCTCACTCCGAATCCTCATCGCCGTCGCCGCCATGAAGAAAAAGAAACTGCGACAAATCGACGTCGCAAACGCATTTCTCTACGCACCTGTGGATGCAGAAATCTTCGTCGAGCTCCCGCACGGCTCCCACGGCGAACCCAACCGAGTCTGTCAACTGCTTAAGTCGCTCTACGGGATCAAGCAGGCACCGCGACTGTGGCAGCAGTACCTACACGCCCGCCTCATTCGCATCGGTTTCAAACAACTCCCGCATGACCAGGGCATGTATCGCCTCACAAAGGGAAGTGACTACGTTCTCCTAATCGTCTACGTGGACGATCTCCTCTACATTGGGTCAACCGACGGCATCGCCACGTGGTTGGAAGGGGAGCTTCAGAAAGACCTCACGCTCACAGTCTCTTCTACCGTTACGCAGTACCTCGGGCTCAACATCCGCGAGGAAGAAAACGCAATCTATCTAAGCGCCGAGAAGTACGCCGACACCATCGCGAAACGCTTCAGCCTCACACCAAGCGCCATCTCCACGCCTTACCGCTACACGTCAGGAACCGAAAAGGGACGATCTACCCTACTCAAGCCCGCCGGCATACGCGACTACCAGAAGAAGCTCGGATGTCTTCTCTTCGCAGCAGTCACATGCCGTCCCGACTTATCCTACTCCGCGAGCCAGCTCGCCACCTATCTCAAGAAGCCTGAAGCAGAGCATCTGGCGGAACTCGATCGCGCTCTCCACTATTTCGTCAGCATCGCGACGATCGGATTAACTTATCACAAAAACGCAACTACACCGATCAAGCTAATCGGCTACGTCGACGCCGATCACGCCGGCGACACCGACAATAGGCGCTCACGCACCGGCTATGTCTACCGCCTCGAACCTATCGGTCCTATCTCCTGGCAGTCGAGTAAGCAGGAGTTAATCGCACTGTCTTCAGCTCAAGCGGAATATATTGCACTCTGCTCAGCCACCAAGGAGGGACTTTACCTTCGCGAACTGCTGGAAGAAGCGAAGTTAGCCAAGTTACCCAGCTTCACCGTGTTCTGCGACAACCAGTCAGCAATTCGCATCGCCAACAAGAACGGCTTCGCAAACAGGACGAAACACATCGCCCTGCGCTATTTCTTCGTGAAGGACGAGATCGAAAAGGGGAAACTCGATCTGTCATACTGTCCCACGTCTGAGATGGCAGCCGATTACTTGACCAAGAAGCTCGGAAAGCAGAAGTTCGAATACTGCATGCTGCTGACTGGACAAGGCCACGTCACCTGCGGCGACACTCCAGAAGCGAAGGGGAGTGTTGGAAACAATAAGTCTTAGTGCGCTTCTGTCGTGTCAAAACCCAAGACACTAGCGAAGCAGTCCGAATCGAAGCATCGAGTCAAACCTCGGAGGTTAGGGTAACCGCCTGGAGGTTACGGGAAAGTCAAAGGTCAGCGACCTTTGACTCGACAATTACAGCGCGACAGTTAAGGACACACAACTGACTCGTTACAGAGCAGTTGCCCGAGTCGCACTGTTTCGAATCGCAACAGCAAATACAGTTATCTATCCATTCGTATTCCCTGTACTCTTATATAAAACCTTGTATTTGCTTGTTTAATTTAATCCACTTTGCTCTCACACACTAGTGCAAGGTCGGTTCACAAACTTCATTAAAACGCTTCCGCTATTACAAATATCCTACCCAGAGTTATCCTCTGCAAAGATCCTTAAGGGCTTTCTCAGCCCAACATCATCAAGATTACTAATCTTGTGCAACCTGGGCTGTGGGCTTTAAAACATGTTTAATGCCTGATGGCTGAAGCCATCACACATCCGACATGTCAAATGACCCCCTATAATTTGTATCAATCTTACGGTATCTGTCAATTTTGTGGATATGCTAAATGCCATGGGAGCTGTATGTTTAAAATAAGTACTCATGACTGCTTGTTAGAACAGTCTCTTCCTTATTATCGCTATTAGTCATACCAGAGGCATCTGCTTTAATCAATGGGGTGCTTGTCTGTTCGCTTTGAAGTGTGCTGAGCAGCAAAAACCACAATGGTGATGACAGAGCTGGCAACAAATATGGCATCGAACCACCTATAGAAGAAGTTGAACTGAATGTCGCCTCCGAGTACCTCCGTGATCAGAAGCCTGCAACACACATGGCAGGTAGGAGTGATGTGCAAGAGGCATGGCAGGTAACAATGAAGTGCAACAAACATGGCAAGTAACAGTGAAGTGCAACAAGCATGGCAAGTAACAATGAAGTGCAACAACCCCGGCAGGTAACAGTGAGTGGAATGAACACAGGTGAATGACGGGTATCGATGTGAAACAGGAACCAGCTGGCAATTAGACTGCTTATAAGCAACCTTGTGTACACAATTAGACAGGAAGACAACAAAATGAGCCCAATTGTGTGCATATATGGATAAGTGCTGCTGTGGTGTGAATTAGTTAAGTGTAAGGATGAAAAATCCAGGCACCTGCATTGAGGTCTCACATAAGCCAGGGTTTCTACCATGCACACCTGTATCACAGCGCGAGGTTGTTTTTTATGAGGATGGAGGAGACTAAGTAGGTGCGCACCTGTATTGCAGTGCGAGCCTGTTCCTTATAAGGAGGATGGAGGAGACGAAGTAGGTGCTCACCTGTATTGCAGCGCAAGGCTATTTCTTATAAGGAGGATGGATGAGACGAAGTAGGTGCCCATGATCTCCGCCAGGAAGAGCACTGCGTTGCTGGACGCCCCACTGGCGCCGCCTGACACTGCTGAGAGGAACTGGAGAGAAGGAATGGGGGGGGGGGGTATGAGGGTGACCACACGAAGAGCACTGCGTTGCTTGACGCCCCACTGGCGCCCCCTGACATTGCTGAGAGGAACTGGAGAGGGATGGGGAGTGGAGTGGTGAGGGAAAGTGGGTAGGATGAGGGTGGGTACTTGAAGAGAATAAACTACCTGCTTGAGGCTCCACTGGCGCCGCCCGACACCGCTGAGAGGAACTGCAAGGGGTGGGGGGGGAAGGGGAGTGGAGGAGTATGGAGGGAAGGAGGAGGGATAGGGATGATAACATAAAGAGCACCGCGCTGCTTGACGCCCCACTGGCCCCGCCTGGCACTGCCGAGAGGAACTGGGGGTGGTGGCGGGTGGAGTGGTGAGGGAAGGTACTTGAAAAGCGACTGCCTGACGCCCAACTGGCCCCTCCTGACACTGCCGAGAGGAAATGCAAGGGGTGCGGAGGAGGGGGAGGGGAGGAGTGGTGAGCGAGGGGAGAGGGGAAGAGTATGGAAGGACATATACGTTGAGACGCGAAAAGAGTGAGCAGGTGAATGAAGGCAAGGCGGAGGCTAACATGACGGATGTGGCGGTGCTGACAACTCAACCGAAGGCACAACCCAAGGAGAGCCCTAAGGGTTGCCCACTTCTGAGGCGGCAGTTCTGACAACTTAACAAGAGGCACAAACATAGGTGAGTGAGCCCTAACAGTTGGCCACTTACCTTGGTGAGGTTAGTGAGGAAGCCTCTAATGGAGACAGTGATAAGGATTCCTATGAACACCAGCGAGACGTACTGCAAAGGGGACAATATGGAAATCATGCAGGTAGTTGGGTGTGAGGGGGGGTGGGTGGGTGTATTTTATGTGTAAGTTATGGGAATGAGATATCGGGAGGGAGGAGGAAGATGCGAGCACAAGGAAGAATGGGCGTAAAAGAACGTTCTGCTGCTACTCTTTTTCTTTAGACCCAAGTGGAGTCCGCAACCTGATTGTGAATTGTGTCAAACGACCGACTGAGCAATGGGAGACTACTTGAGCATGTGGAGGTGGGGGTGGGGGAATGGCATGTATGCAAGCACCCATCAGAATCACATTGGACGACCGCTCGAGGAAGGATGAAGAAGCAAGAAGAACGAGGTGGAGTGGGCACGTGTTTGGAGAGTAGTTTTGAAGATTTGAAGTGCTTGAAGTTTGAGACGTCTCATAACTACACTTCAAACACAAGAACGAGGTGGAGTGGGAGAATGGTTGAGGGGATAATTGGGGCGACCGCATCAACAACTGCATCTTTCACATACCATCGGAACAACAATCTGTGATAGGACGAGTGGTGGCAGACTAGGAGACCAGCGGCGTGCAGCACAAGAGGCAGTTTAGGCGGATGTGATGTGAACGGCCTTGAGAGCAGAGAGCGTTGAGAATCAGTTGAGAGACAAGGTTGTGGTTACCTGTGATACGAGCGGCACGTTGAGGCTGATGTGGAAGAACTTGAGAATGAAGCCCAGCGCCCTGGTCACAGGGTCACCCATGCCCACCTGATAGGGTGGGGAGTGGTGGAGAAGGGTGGAGAGGGGACAATCGAGATAAAAAATGGAAATGCATTTAGGAGGGAGACACAAGAAAGCAGGTGACAGCTGACAAGAACAGGGGTGACATGTGTGCAAACTGAATGAAAGCTCTGGAGGAAGCAGATTAGCACCAGCTTGTTTGCACAGGAAGTGGAGGAAATGCAAAGGAGAGTGTTGCCTGCTGGCGCCTAGGGCATGCAAGGTGAGGGGCGCGCCTCCTTGGTGATGATAGTGCGCGTGGACTGGGGGGGGGCGATGGCGTGTTTTGAGTTGACTCAAAAGGTGTGTGCTGGTCGAATTACAGCACACCTCAATCTCCAAACAGACAAGGTGAGAGGCGCACCTCCTTGGTGATGATGGTGCGCGTGGACTGAGGGGGGGCGATGGCAGCCGAAGCACCCGTGAGTAGCAACCACAGGTCCAGAATTGAGCGGGAGAAGCAGAACGAAAAGGCGTTGAAAAAGCAAAAGAAAATCCATGATGCCTTTGGATTGGTTCAAGTATATATGTATACACATATACGTTAAGGGGAAAACAAAACCTGGAAGGAAGAAAATAATCAGTTTAGTGCCCAATAGAGGAAATACATCTGCATACGGTGGAGGATTCTGACAAGAAAAAGCTGGTGTTTCTCGCAGGTACATACATACAAGCACAAGTCATGATGTGCAACCATACCGTGTACATCTTATTTATACCATACCGTGTACATCTTATTTATACCATACCGTGTACATCTTATTTATACCATACCGTGTACATCTTATTTATACCATACCGTGTACATCTTATTTATACCATACCGTGTACATCTGATTATACCATACCGTGTACATCTTATTTATACCATACCGTGTAAATCTTATTTATACCATACCGTGTACATCTTATTTATACCATACCGTGTACATCTTATTTATACCATACCGTGTACATCTTATTTATACCATACCGTGTACATCTTATTTATACCATACCGTGTACATCTTATTTATACCATACCGTGTACATCTTATTTATACCATACCGTGTACATCTTATTTATACCATACCGTGTACATCTTATTTATACCATACGTGTACATCTTATTTATACCATACCGTGTACATCTTATTTATACCATACCGTGTACATCTTATTTATACCATACCGTGTACATCTTATTTATACCATACCGTGTACATCTTATTTATACCATACCGTGTACATCTTATTTATACCATACCGTGTACATCTTATTTATACCATACCGTGTACATCTTATTTATACCATACCGTGTACATCTTATTTATACCATACCGTGTACATCTTATTTATACCATACCGTGTACATCTTATTTATACCATACCGTGTACATCTTATTTATACCATACCGTGTACATCTTATTTATACCATACCGTGTACATCTTATCTATACCATACCGTGTACATCTTATCTATACCATACCGTGTACATCATATCTATACCATACCGTGTACATCTTATTTATACCATACCGTGTACATCTTATCTATACCATACCGTGTACATCATATCTATACCATACCGTGTACATCTTATTTATACCATACCGTGTACATCTTATTTATACCATACCGTGTACATCTTATTTATACCATACCGTGTACATCTTATTTATACCATACCGTGTACATCTTATTTATACCATACCGTGTACAATCTTATTTATACCATACCGTGTACATCTTATTATACCATACCGTGTACATCTTATTTATACCATACCGTGTACATCTTATTTATACAATACCATGTACATCTAATTTATACCATACCGTGTATATCTTATTTATACCATACCGTGTACATCTTATTTATACCATACCGTGTACATCTTATTTATACCATACCGTGTACATCTTATTTATACCATACCGTGTACATCTTGGCAATACAGTAAGCGGAGCCAATGTAGCCAAAGATGTTCTTCACATGCCCCTTCCACGTGCGCGAATACGCCATGGCTGCCTGTCGGGGGAGAAGGGTGCAAGGGAAGGGAGGGCGGCAGGAAGGAAGCGGAAGAAGTAGGTTTTCAAGGTTGAAAAGGAGGTGTGCAAGCATTGCCAGGGGTTGAGGCAGGCACTGCCAGGGGTTGAGGTAGGCACTGCCAGGGGTTGTAGGCACTGCCAGGGGTTGCTATGTTGCGCCTGACGCCCTGAAAGGGCAGCGTCCAGCATCCGGACGGTCACGTCCGGACGCTGGACGCGTCAAATCGGTTTGACGCTGGACGTTCGGGAAAACAATTTTCGGGCAGCCCGGAAAAAAAACCCGCACGCAATTGACGTGCGATATCATCGCGACCAGAATTGCAATTGGCAAGCGGGTGTTGCGTTTTTTACCTAGAAAAACGCAACCCACATTTATTCCCCCCCACACATTTCTACCCATCCCAATCTACTGCTCCCAACCAGGACAACTCCCAACTAAACTAGAGAACCAGATCTAGGTCGCCACTTCACAGATCTGTTCTCTCGACATTGCCAGGCATAACCTACACTAGAATCCGCCAGTCACGTTACTAAGCCTTCCTAGCTAAGGCGATTAAGTTATCATGTCAATTCCTAGTTCCGCCGGTCAATCTGGTAGTGGCTCCACACCTTCTGCAGGTGGTGTGGAAGGAGAACGCAAGTATGGAGTATTTATAACTGTAGGTGACAAAAGTGAACTTCTTGCATTCTAACCCCTGCGTATCCTTACTAGGCAGGTTTTTTTACCCCTGCCCGGGAAAAGTTTTGCCCTGCCCGGACCAGCGTCAAGCGGGCGTCCAGGGCAGAGGACACCGGGCATCAAGCGTCTGGACGCCCCGTCCAGACGCCAGCGTAAAAAACGCCTGACGCGTCAGGCGCAACATAGAGGGGTTGTAGGCACTGCCAGGGGCTGTGGCCTCTGGGTAGAGACATTCAACCTCATCTCCTTTCTTCCACCTTCTCCTTAAGTTGGCAATTGTTGAGAGCTGCGTGTGAGTGGAGGCTTCAATCAAGAGCCAAGGTGGATTCACGCTGAAACACGACCCATTGCCCCCCACCTTCTCCTCGCAGAGGGGGCATATGTCGAGGAAGAGCGAGCGAGTGGATGTTTCAAGAGATAAGAAGGATTCAGGTTGCAGAATTCAAGGATATCACTACTCCACTCCTCCTGTTCCCCCCCCCCCCCCCCCCCACCACCTTCTCCTAGCGCAGGTTGCAAATGTTGCGGAAGTGCGAGCAAGTGAGGGCTTCAAGAGACAAGAAGCATTCAAGAGCCCCCTAACTCCCACCTATCCCCCACCCCTGTTGACCCCCCACCCCCCACCCCTCCTATCCCCCACCTTCTCTTCACGGAGGGTGCAGATGTCAAGGAAGAGAGAGCGGGTGAGCGCTTCAAGGGCCTTGATCTCCGCCTCTGTGGCATGCAGCTCCAGCAGCAGCGGGGGGTACCCTTTTAACCGCATGCTTTCTAATGAATGAGTGGGGGTGCGGACGGGGATAAAAGAGAGAGGGGAGCGAGCGGGTGAGCGCTTCATGGGCCTTGATCTCCGCCACCGTGGCGTGCAGCTCCAGCAGCAGAGGGGGGTACCCTTTTAACCGCATGGTTTCTGGTGGGCGAGTGAGTGGGGGCCGAATGGGGGGAATGGGATAGCCTATCAGCCGTGAGCAGCAGCGGGGGTTACCCCTTCAGCCGCATGCTCTCTGGTGGGTGAGTGAAGACGGGGGGGGTAGCGGGAGATGGGGGGAATGGATAGTCCCACAGCTTCTTCATCTCCGCCTCTGTGGCGTGCAGCTCCAGCAGCAGCGGGGGGTAGCCCTTCAGCGGCATGCACTCTGGTGGGTGTGGGAGAGGTGAGTGACGGGGAGGGGAGGGGAAGGGAGGCCGAGGGAGAGACGTTATCGGAAGGCCGAGAAAGGAATGAGTCATGGTTTTGAGAAACTTAATCCCCGCCTCCGTGGCGTGGAGCTCCAGCAGCAGCGGGGGGTAGCCCTTCAGCCGCATGCTCTCTGGTGGGTGTGGGGTGTGGGGGCAATGGGGGATTGGGGGGAAGAATTGCGTTTCAGCCACCTCCATGGCGTGCAGGTGCAGCAGCAGCAGCGGGGGGTAGCCCTTCAAGCGCATGCTCTCTGGTGGGTGAAGAAGGGGGTAGCCCTTCGCCCCGCTCCTCCTACATGCGTGAGCGCATCAGCACCCCAACAGCTACATCCCAACCATCACTGCTCTCCCCGCCCCACATACCCCGCACCTCAACACCTCCTTCCCTCCCCCCCACCTTCCTTTCCTCCCCACCTTCCTTTCCTCCCCACCTTCCTTTCCTCCCCACCTTCCTTTCCTCCCCACCTTCCTTTCCTCCCCACCTTCCATTCCTCCCCACCTTCCTTTCCTCCCCACCTTCCATTCCTCCCCACCTTCCTTTCCTCCCCACCCTTCCATTCCTCCCCACCTTCCATTCCTCCCACCCTTCCATTCCTCCCCACCTTCCATTCCTCCCCACCTTCCATTCCTCCCCACCTTCCTTCCTCCCACCTTCCATTCCTCCCCACCTTCCTTTCCTCCCCACCTTCCATTCCTCCCCACCTTCCATTCCTCCCCACCTTCCATTCCTCCCCACCTTCCATTCCTCCCCACCCTTCCATTCCTCCCCACCTTCCATTCCTCCCCACCTTCCATTCCTCCCCACCTTCCATTCCTCCCCACCTTCCATTCCTCCCCCACCTTCCATTCCTCCCCACCTTCCATTCCTCCCCACCTTCTTTCCTGCCCCACCTTCGTCCCTCTCCTCCTCCCTGGGGCGCGCATCAGCAGCCCCACGAATCGACGCAGCACAGACGCACCCCGTGCATTCCCATGCAGCTCCTGCCGTCACCGCCAGGCGAGGGGGGCACGGGGAGAGGGGAAGGGGGAGGGGGACGGGGGGAGGTGGGGGAGAGGGCGAAAAGGAAGGGGGAGGGGAGAGGAGGGAGGGGGAGAGGGGAGGGGGGAGGTGGGGAGGGGGGAGAAGGGAGGGGGGGGGGTGGGAAGGACATCACTGCTGAAAAGCAGAGAGATCCTGTGAGGGCATGCAGAGAGCTCCTGTGAGGGCATGCAGAGAGCTCCTGTGAGGGCATGCAGAGAGATCCTGTGAGGGCATGCAGACAGCTCCTGTGAGGGCATGCAGAGAGCTCCTGTGAGGGCATGCAGAGAGCTCCTGTGAGGGCATGCAGAGAGCTCCTGTGAGGGCATGCAGAGAGCTCCTGTGAGGGCATGCAGAGAGCTCCTGTGAGGGCATGCAGAGAGCTCCTGTGAGGGCATGCAGAGAGCTCCTGTGAGGGCATGCAGAGAGCTCCTGTGAGGGCATGCAGAGAGCTCCTGTGAGGGCATGCAGAGAGCTCCTGTGAGGGCATGCAGAGAGCTCCTGTGAGGGCATGCAGCTTCCCTTCCAGTGGTCGGCGCAGTGGAGAGAGAGAAGAGGCATGGAAGGACCGTTCGAGACGCGGCATGGAAGGGGGATGACAGGAGAGGCAGTCGGCCCGCCTGGAGCCCATGCAATTCAGTCGGCCCGCCTGGGGCCCATGCAATCCAGATGGTCGGCACAACACAGGTTCGGCGAGCACGCATGCAGGGGGGACGGACAGGGGAAGGTGGGAGGGGAGATGTGGGCATGAGGGAGGAAAAGGGGTCCACGGGAAAACGGGAGATGAGGGGGAAGGAAGGAAGGAAGGAAGGAAGCAGAGAGGGGGGGGGGAGGGGGAGGGGGGTGAGAGCCATGGGAAGCCTGACGCCCTTATGGACCCTCGTACAGTCCCTACGAGGCAAGCGACAAGGGCCCATAGGGGTCCATAGGGGTCCATAGGGGTCCATAGGGGTCCATAGGGGTCCATAGGGGTCCATAGGGGTCCATAGGGGTCCATAGGGGTCCATAGGGGTCCATAGGGGCCCATAGGGGTCCATAGGGGTCCATAGGGGTCCATAGGGATCCATAGGGGTCCATAGGGGCCCATTGATGTCACCTGACGCCGACATCTATGCACAGGACTCGTGGACTTTGGGACATTTTCCAGTGAGCAGCACTTGCGTAGGAGTAAGTTTAAGCAAGTAGGAGAAGAAAGTGTGAAAACCTAAACACTAGCTAATCACCGAGAGCTTGTGAAGCTGGAGCTCTTCTCCCATAGGGTCCCATAGGGTCCCATAGGGGCCCACAGGGGTCTATAGGGTCCCATAGGGGCCCACAGGGGTCTATAGGGTCCCATAGATGTCACCTGACGCCGACATCTATGCACAGGACTCGTGGACTAATAGAGGAGGAGAGGGGGAAAGCGGTTGTGAAAGGGAAGTTTGTCGCATTGAATGAGGATTTCGAGTCTCACTTGCATGAGGTGCGGGTGGGTGCGGTCGAGGTGCATGCGCATGAGAAGGGATCGCTTCTTCTTCCCCACCAGCATCTCCATGCCGTGCCTCAACCGCCGCTCCAACGTGCCTATCTCCGCCTCGTCTATCTCCCTGCCGTGGGCAGCATGCATGTGGAGGGCAGCATGCATGTGGAGGGCAGCACGCATGTGGAGGGCAGCACGCATGTGGAGGGGGCAGCACACAAGCGCAAGGGGCAGCACGCATGTGGAGGGCAGCACGCATGTGGAGGGGGCAGCACACAAGCGCAAGGGGCAGCATGCATGTGGAGGGCAGCACGCATGTGGAGGGCAGCACGCATGTGGAGGGGGCAGCACACAAGCGCAAGGGGCAGCACGCATGTGGAACATGAGCAGAGCAGCACGCCTCTCTCCTTCTTCCCCACCAGCATCTCCATTCCGTGCCTCAGCCGCCGCTCCAACGCCCCTATCTCCGCCTCGTCTATCTCCCTGGGATGGGGTAAAGCAGACCCACACGTAAATGTATGGCACATGCCTCACATGTAACACAGAGGCCACGTGCATTTGCTGCTCCAACAACCACATCTGCGCCTCTCCTATCTCCCACTGGAAGGGGTTGCTTGCACTCGTGTGTAACATGAGCAGCACGCCTCTTCTCTTCTTCCCCACCAGCATATCTATGCTGAACAGCGAGGGGTAGGTGTTACCTGATTTAGGGCAGGTTGACCGCCCCGTAGCCTGACAGCACAGCACTGCCACGTGCTTGTAGTTCAAGAAGAATAACAGCTGTCTCACCTGATGAAGAGTGAGAGGTAGGTGAAGGGCAGGTTGACCGCCCCGTAGCCTGACAGCACAGCACTGCCACGTGCTTGTAGTTCAAGAAGAATAACAGCTGTCTCACCTGATGAAGAGTGAGAGGTAGGTGAAGGGCAGGTTGACCGCCCCGTAGCCTGAGAGCACAGCACTGCCACGTGCTTGTAGTTCAAGAAGAATAACAGCTGTCTCACCTGATGAAGAGTGAGAGGTAGGTGAAGGGCAGGTTGACCGCCCCGTAGCCTGACAGCACAGCACTGCCACGTGCTTGTAGTTCAAGAAGAATAACAGCTGTCTCACCTGATGAAGAGTGAGAGGTAGGTGAAGGGCAGGTTGACCGCCCCGTAGCCTGAGAGCACAGCACTGCCACGTGCTTGTAGTTCAAGAAGAATAACAGCTGTCTCACCTGATGAAGAGTGAGAGGTAGGTGAAGGGCAGGTTGACCGCCCCGTAGCCTGACAGCACAGCACTGCCACGTGCTTGTAGTTCAAGAAGAATAACAGCTGTCTCACCTGATGAAGAGTGAGAGGTAGGTGAAGGGCAGGTTGACCGCCCCGTAGCCTGAGAGCACAGCACTGCCACGTGCTTGTAGTTCAAGAAGAATAACAGCTGTCTCACCTGATGAAGAGTGAGAGGTAGGTGAAGGGCAGGTTGACCGCCCCGTAGCCTGACAGCACAGCACTGCCACGTGCTTGTAGTTCAAGAAGAATAACAGCTGTCTCACCTGATGAAGAGTGAGAGGTAGGTGAAGGGCAGGTTGACCGCCCCGTAGCCTGAGAGCACAGCACTGCCACGTGCTTGTAGTTCAAGAAGAATAACAGCTGTCTCACCTGATGAAGAGTGAGAGGTAGGTGAAGGGCAGGTTGACCGCCCCGTAGCCTGAGAGCACAGCCATGAGCGTGACTCCTATCACCCCCACGCGGCTCACCATCTGCGCCACTGTGACGAGACCTGCGCGCAGGGCCACGTGGGGGAGTGAGAGGAGGAGACGCAGGGGGGGGAAGGGGTGGCGGAGGAGAAAGACATAGAGGAAGGAAAGGTAGTGGAGCGCAGAGGAGGGGAACAATGTACGGCTATGGCCGTGGTTCCTACCACCCCCAACACGCAGGTCAGCATCTGCACTACCATGACAGACCCAGGTCAATAAGGGCAGAACACAAAGCAGGGGAGAGAGGGGGGGGGGGGGGAAGTTGGGGATGGAAGGGTTGGTTTTTCAGAATTCTCATAAGTGGCTGGATTGGAGGGTAGACGCGATTGCGGGGAGAAGGCCAAGAGCCACGCAGGCAGTGCGGGAGAAATGGGTTTTGGGGGATGAATCTTGCATGAGAGAGAACAGGTTGCCTCTGTTAGGAACTAACTGGCCGCAGTGAGGAAGATTAGAGCTCGCGGCATCAGAGTGGCTTCCACCGCTGAGGTGACTGCTGAGTCGACTCAAAAGTCTGCCCGCAAGAATGAGGTGGCTTGGCTCATACCAGTGGAATTCAGCATGGGGACATGGAGTGAGGTTCGCACGCCTGCCTTTATTGAGAGTGGGTATGAGCACGGAGAGGCTTGCCTTTGTCAGGGGTGAGCTTGGGGAAGGAGATGCCCATGCGCAAGAAAAGGTACAGGTGAGGGCTGCCTGTGTGCCTGTGCGCCTGTGAGCCTGTGCGCCTGTGCGCCTGTGCGCCTGTGCGCCTGTGCGCCTGTGCGCCTGTGCGCCTGGGCGCCTGTGCGCCTGGGCGCCTGGGCGCCTGGGCGCCTGAGCGCCTGGGCGCCTGTGCGCCTGGGCGCCTGTGCGCCTGTGCGCCTGTGCGCCTGTGCGCCTGGGCGCCTGTGCGCCTGGGCGCCTGGGCGCCTGTGCGCCTGTGCGCCTGTGCGCCTGTGCACCCTGTGTGCCTGTGCGCCTGTGTGCCTGTGTGCATGTGTGCCTGTGTGCCTGGAGCCTGTGTGCCTGTATGCCTGTGTGCCTGTGTGCATGTGTGCCTGTGTGCCTGTGTGCATGTGTGCCTGTGTGCCTGTGTGCATGTGTGTCTGTGTGCCTGTGTGCATGTGTGCCTGTGTGCATGTGTGCCTGTGTGCCTGTGTGCCTGTGTGCCTGTGTGCCTGTGTGCCTGTGTGCCTGTGTGCATGTGTGCCTGTGTGCCTGTGTGCATGTGTGCATGTGTGCCTGTGTGCCTGTGTGCATGTGTGCATGTGTGCCTGTGTGCATGTGTGCATGTGTGCCTGTGTGCATGTGTGCCTGTGTGCCTGTGTGCATGTGTGTCTGTGTGCCTGTGTGCATGTGTGCCTGTGTGCCTGTGTGCATGTGTGTCTGTGTGCCTGTGTGCATGTGTGCATGTGTGCCTGTGTGCATGTGTGCCTGTGTGCCTGTGTGCATGTGTGTCTGTGTGCCTGTGTGCATGTGTGCCTGTGTGCCTGAGTGCATGTGTGCCTGTGTGCCTGTGTGCATGTGTGTCTGTGTGCCTGTGTGCATGTGTGCCTGTGTGCATGTGTGCCTGTGTGCATGTGTGCTGTGTGCCTGTGTGCCTGTGTGCCTGTGTGCCTGTGTGCCTGTGTGCCTGTGTGCATGTGTGCCTGTGTGCCTGTGTGCATGTGTGCATGTGTGCCTGTGTGCCTGTGTGCATGTGTGCATGTGTGCATGTGTGCATGTGTGCATGTGTGCATGTGTGCATGTGTGCCTGTGTGCATGTGCGCCTGTGTGCCTGTGTATAACAACACCTTTATCGGGCGTGGGCATGGGGAAGGAGATGCCCATGCGCCAGAAGAGGTAGAGAAAGCCTCCCAGAAACACCACCGCCCCCGCTGCTGCACGCTCCCTCCTCATGCCTGCCATGGCGTGGGGGGCCGAGCAGTCAGCACACGCCACATACAGGGAGAATCAGAGAGACGAGGGTGAGCTTTTAGCCGACTCCGAGGCACCTCCTCATGCGTGGTATGGGGCGAGCAGGAGGCGAGTGATGGGTTGAGCAGTGCGCATGGGAGAGATGAGAGCGCAGAGCGGCAATGTAGGGCAGATGGGAGGTGGGCAAGCGCACCACGCCCCTCCATATGCCTGCCGTGCCGTGGGGGGGCGAGCAGTTAGCACACGATACATGCAGGGAGCACCAGGGAGACGAAGGCGAATGTAGAGCAGATGGGAGGTGGGTGAGCGCACCACGCCCCTTCACATGCCTGCCGTGCCATGGCGCGTATAAGTGTGGTGGGTGGGTGGGTAGGTGGGTGTATGCAAGGGCACGTACCGGTGTTAGCGAGGACGAGGAAGGAGTGGTAGCATAGAAGGGCAGCACGATGGGCAGCATGTATGGGTGTGCTGTGCGCAGGGGTGCATGGCGCGTATAAGTGTGGTGGGCGTGTAGCAGCATTTGCCGCCTCGTACCGGTGTTGGCGAGGACGAGGAAGGAGTGGTAGCAGGGCAGCACGATGAGCAGCAGCGCGAGCAGCAGCGAGAGGTCAAAGCGCCAGTTCCACAGCCGCGCACTGCCACGTGTCACAGGGAGCATGGGGATGGGAGCATGGGGAAAACAGGGCGATGGGAGGATGGAGGGAGAGGGTGGGTGAGTGGAGAAATGTGAGAGCTTACAGGTGAGGTGGGCTCATAAAGACTACTTCAACGGCATATAGAAATGACAGGGCAGGTGGGTACCTTGTGCCACACGGATAGAATCCAACCCACCTTGTGCAATAGTAACCAACCTTGTGCAATAGTAACCAACCTTGTGCAATAGTAACCAACCTTGTGCAATAGTAACCAACCTTGTGCAATAGTAACCAACCTTGTGCCAATAGTAACCAACCTTGTGCCAATAGTAACCAACCTTGTGCCAATAGTAACCAACCTTGTGCCAATAGTAACCAACCTTGTGCCAATAGTAACCAACCTTGTGCCAATAGTAACCAACCTTGTGCCAATAGTAACCAACCTTGTGCCAATAGTAACCAACCTTGTGCCAATAGTAACCAACCTTGTGCCAATAGTAACCAACCTTGTGCAATAGTAACCAACCTTGTGCCGAGCACGGGGAGGGGAGGTTACCTGGTGCCGAGCACGGGCAGGATCTCAAAGAGCACGAGCTGCAGCAGATTGCAGGAGAGCGCGAAGACAGCCGCGAAGAGCACCTCCACCGCCAGGTACTGCTCCTCGTAGTCCTGGGGGATGGGAGTGGAGGGGGAGTGAGGGGGGAGTGGGGTGGGGGGATGGAGGAAGAGGAAGAGGGAGAGTGGGGGATTAGGGCGGTTCAATGACAGCCGCAAAGAGCACCTCCACCGGCAGGTACTGCTCCTCGTAGTCCTGGGGGGCGGAGGGGAAGGGGGGAAAAGGGGGAGAGAGGGGGAGAGGAGGAGGGAAATCGGGTCGGGTGGTTCAAGAACATAAGCAGAGCACCTCCACCGGCAGGTACTGCTCCTCGTAGTCCTGGGGGGTGGAGGGGAAGGGGGGATGAGAGGAGGAGGGGGGAGAGGAAGATGGGGGAGGGAGAGGGGGGACGGGGGGCAACGGACAATGGACAGCCGCGAAGAGCACCTCCAATGCCAAATACTGCTCGTCGTAGTCCTGGGGGACGGGGGGAAAGGGTGGGGGGGGTGTGGGGAAGATGGGGGATGGGGGGACCAATGGGGACACAGCCGGATGGCAAGGGATGAGGACGCACCTTGTAGAGGTGCGAAGGAGGAACCACCAGCCATACGCACCATAAGCAGCATGCTGGGCCGGCTTATAACGGGGCGCACCTTGTAGAGGCGCGCGACGAGGAACCACCAGCCATACGCGCTATAAGCAGCATGCTGGGCCGGCTTACAGCGGAGCGCACCTTGTAGAGGCGCGCGACGAGGAACCACCAGCCGGTGGCGAAGAGCGCGGCGAGCGAGCCGAGCATGACGGACCCCTCGAACACCACGCGCCCCGCGCGCACCATCGCGCCGCCCACCACCGCCATGCCGCGCTGCCCGCACGGCACGGTCCGGTGAGTTACTCCGGCACGGTAGTGTTGCTCACGGTACGGAACGGTGCTAGTAGGTTCGTGCTGTTGTCAGGCATCAGGACATTTTCAACGTCACCGCCGCCAACGGCACGTTTTCGTCTATCGAAGTGTAGATGATTTCGTTGGTGTGAGCGATTTTCGAGAATTCTCACCAATCGCTCACAGACTTCGTCGCTGCGGAGACGATCCGCGTTCCTCCGCGCAACAGACCGTAATGCACGCCACGTTCACACCGTGCTCTTAAAACAACACGGGAACCAAAGCGATGAGCTGTGCTGTGCTGTGCTGCTAACGATGATGACTCATGGCCCTGGGCTTTGCGCGACTCGCTCCCAGGAAGCTCGAGGGGATTCTTGTTGGAGAATCGAGTCTCTGCCGCCCCAGCCCTTTGCACACAAGGGCGGTGTTCGCCAGCACTTTTGAAAACGAAAACGACGGGATCAGGAAGGTCAGTCACGCCTTCCTGATCCCGTCAGTTAGGATTCGTTAAGCTCCGTCAGCCTGGTCAGCCCGTAAAATTCGTGCCGAAGCTAGGATGTCGTCCGAGCCTAAAGCAATCTGCGGTGCCTGGCGAACGCTCTCATTTTTCTCAATTTTCGGAAGGAAACATGGCATTCGGAAATGGGGACGCGACTTCCTCCCCAGGCAAACGTCCCGTCTCATGCCATCCCGTGGCAATCCACCATTTCACGTGGACCGCCGTAGATAGGCGATGTAATTGGCTGTCGGAGGAAGGTGGGGTGTGGGGTTCCATGCGGTTGTGAAGTTTCTCATGTCGGGGCTGGAAAGTTCGCGGGTGGCATTTCGCCCAAACCTTTTCGGAGGGTTCCGACCCCGCTTCCTGATGCCGTTGCCAGTCCAATGCCTTCCATTTTCTTCCAATCTCAAAGGTGCTGGCGAACACCGCCAAGGAGCAGCAAGAATGTCGGCGACGGATTGAAGGCTTCGCGAAAATTCAGAAACTTCCGCAGCAAAATCAGATTGCAGCCGAAGACTCGATACAGTTCGGGATTGCTCTCAAACAGAAGGGTCGACAGTTTCTACAGGTTTCTACAAAACAGAATCAGCTATAACAGTACATTCCAGAGATTTCTTATTTATGCACCTCATGTGGAGTCACTCAAGGTTCATGGAATCTGAATTGTGCCCAAGTTCCCAAGGAAGTTGCCTTGTCTAGCAGCCTAGTTTGAGCTATCAATCTGCATGTTTGTAATGCTTAAGAAGTTGTGCTTTAGTGGGCTTGTTAATCTTGATCATAGTGAAGTTTTCTCTCATCAAGCCAAGTCCAGCAGCTCTGTTGAGCTTTTCCAGCCAAGTTTCCAGCCTACCAGTCATCAAAGCTACTCTGTTTTGCAAGTTGGTATCAGAGCCCGTCGTTTCGATCAACCGAGTGCCACCACCTTCCTATCCTAGCACAATCCATCCATGGCGGGAGACAACCCATCTGGCCCTGCACTCCAGCCAGCCGGAGGAGCTTCAGAGTCAACATCAGGAGCTACTGGATTAGTGGAAGCAGTTGCACCAGGCAGTTCTTCAACTACATACTCACCACTCACCTCCTTCATGCCTAAGCTTCACCTCCCCAAGTTCAACGGCAAAGATTTTCCAACATGGGCAACTCAGTTTGAGCTCACTGCATCCCTTCTGGATCTCTGGCCTTACTACACTGGAGAAGCAACCAAACCAGCAGCAGATGCTTCAGAAGCTGAAAAACGACTCTACGAACGGCGCAACAAGGAGGCCTTCCTCTACCTACTCAATAGCATTCACGAGCAGCAGTTGAAGTCGCTCCTACCCTGCTCTACAAAGGCAAACAGCGCAGAGGAAGCATGGAGCCGACTGAAGTCTATGCACCAGTCAAAATCCGAGAGCAGCCAGGCCGAGATGTGGAGCCGCTTCATGAGTCTCAAGATGGAAGAAGAAGAATCAGCCCAAACCTACCTTCAACGAGCTGAAACGATGCTAGAGGAAGCAGCCGCGATCGGCTTGGAGATTCCAGAGTCTCTTTTCAAGACCGTCATCCTCACCGGCCTTACACCGGAGTGGGACACTTTCCGTGCAACACTACAAGCACTTCCGCAATCAATGAAGACCCGTGCGTTCATCTTCGAAGCCCTTGTCAACGAGCAGCAAAGTCGAGACCTTGCACGAAACAAGCGGAGTGACGAGGGTGCGTGGAGTGCTGCAGCAGCTACAAGATATGGCAACCAATCTCAGAGGCAAGGAAATTTCAGCCCAAACCGCCCTCAACCTTACTATGGTACGAATTTTCAATCACCTTCCAACCCATACAAACCCTCTCGTTTTGCTCAGTCAAGTCCTCCCTATAAGTCAAGTCCCTATGTCCAGCCAAGGCCTTCTATTCCCAATCAATATCAGCCTAGGAATGCACGAGTCTATACGCCAAGAGTCAATAATTTCAGCCAAGCCTCAAATGCTAAAAAGTTTAATTTCGAGTGTTTTTGTTGTCATGAGTGGGGTCATCCGTGGTATGCTTGTCCTAAGAAGCCTCCTAATTGGGTTCCCCCACCTCAGCTACTATCCGAAAAGGGTAAGGCAGCCATAGCAAACATGGCAAGACATTCTACAAGTCAAAATGAGTCCAAAGATTCTGAAGGTCCTGTCCTTTTCAACGCCGCCACTTGCATGCACGTTTTTTCTACTAGTAGTGAGGAGTTTATCCTTGATAGTGGCTGTTCTGAAACCATGACTCCCTATCAGTCCATTCTCAAGGATTTTCAGCCCTCATATGACTCAAAAGCTGTGACACTTGCTGATCTTGGCAAAGTACCTATCAAAGGAGTCGGCAAGATTGAGTTCGAAAAGGATGGTAAGTCATTTTGTGTCAATAAAGCTTTGTTTGTTCCTGATTTGGGAGCAAACTTGCTCTCAGCTGGACAACTTGAAGAGAAAGGTGCCTCTGTACTATTGCAAGGGGGGAAAGCCAAAGTGTGGGACAGTGCAGGAAATTTGGTGGCTGAAGGCGAGCGTACCGGGCGGCTCTATAAGATGAAGTTGGAGATCAAGCGCGGTTCTAACAATACGAAGAACGACGTTGTCTCGCTTCCCGCTGTTTCAACCAACTAAGGGAGTATCTCCCAAGCTGAGGTATGGCATGCACGCTTGGGGCACTTGGGAATGCAAGCATTGAAAGAGTTGGTGAATCACAAGAGCGTGGAAGGATTGAGTTTGAGTGAAATTGCAGTCAAGTCCCTTTCTTCCGTTCCATGTCCATCTTGTGTTGAGGGTAAGCTAGCTAGAAAGCCATTTTTCCCTTCTAAGTCTCAGTCAAGGGACCTCCTAGAGTTGGTCCACACTGATGTATTTGGCCCCATGCGAGACCCTACTCGAAACGGTAAGAGATATTTGGTGTCTTTCATTGATGACAAGAGTCGTTTCTCGTGGTCATTTTTCATCAACACCAAGGATGAAGTTCACAAGTGTTTCAAGCAATGGCTAGCACTTGTTGAGAGAGATTCAGGGAAGAAGTTGCTCACCTTGAGGTCGGACCGAGGAGGTGAGTACATGGGAAAAGCATTTCAGGGGGAGTTGTTGGCATTGGGCATCAAACAACAGTTCACTTGTCCCTATAGTCCTCAGCAAAATGGAGTTGCAGAGAGGTTTCATCGCACTATTCAAGCAATAGCTACCACTTTTCTTCAGTTTAAGGGCCTTGACAAGCTCTGGTGGGGTGAGGCAATCACTATGGCAATCTATGTTCGCAACAGGAGACCCACAAGGCCCCTACCGGATGGTGTAACGCCATATGAGGCTTGGTTTGGAGTTAAACCAGATCTGTCTATGCTTCGTGTTTTTGGTTCCATGACCCAATACCGTGTTCCAGATGCAAAGAGAGTCAAGCTGGACAGCAGAGCTCATTGGGGCCTCTTCATCGGCATGAGCAACGAGAGCAAGGGATGGGTCCTTTGGGATCCCATCACCAAGCGAGAAGTGGTTTCAAGGGATGTGGTCTTCTATGAAGACATGTCCCTTGCAGATTGGCACAAGTTTTCCTCTTCCTCCTCTCTACCACCCTCCCTCCAACAGGAACCAGCAAGAGCACCTGAGGAAACAACACAAGAGGAGGACGGAGATGACACCAATTCTGACCATAGCGGACCCATCATCGATCTCCCGCAAGCCGTCGTCAACGAGACCAGCTGCGCCACACCAGTGCCACCAGCAGCTACTCAACCAAGTGGAGATGTGGTTCAGCCGTCAAATGAAGACAATCCACCCCAAGAAGCCACCGTTACATCACCGCCAAAGGAGCAGCAGCCAGCCGTCACCAACCAGCCAGCTACTTCAACACCAACCCCGCAAGTTCAACGTCACCCGGATCAGCCCACCACTACACCATCAAACCCATCACCAGCCGTCAATTCAGAGGCAACTACAGAAGCTCACCATCATCCAATGCAGCAGCAACCTACAGCTACAAGACTCCAAGTACCTACATCAGCACCATCTACAATTCTTCCTACCAACAAGACAACCATTACCGCAACATCTCGTTCTCACACACGTTCATCACTTCAGGTTCCAACGTCAAGCCAGCTCATAGCACGAGGATCACTTCAGCGAATCACCACCAACACCAGCTCCAACAGCCCACTTCTTCACCCAAGACCTTTCTCAACTTCACCCCCACGTCCCGGAATCGGCCGTCATCAGTTACCGCCATCTTCAACACCGAGAACCAGCGCCAATCAGACCGAACCGTCTCCAACTTTCGACAACGCAGCGTCATCATCAATTCCCAAGCTTCTAGTCTCAAGATCCCCACCAAGAGAATCTTCACAGCCAACTATGCCGACGAACATTTCAGCTTCACCGACACAAGTCACCACACCTATTCCTCAAGTCAACACCGATAATCGAGAGAGTTCCACGCCGGGAGAAGATCATGCAGTCGTGCCGCCGTCGCAGCCGATGTCGCAGCCATTGTCTCAGCCGCAGATGACCGTGTCAACGCATCCAACCACTGTGAGACCGAACCCTACCATTGATTTGTCTCAGCCAAGTGAGGCTTTGGGTAAAGGTAAACGAGTCCGCAAGGTAAAAAAGCCCTTCACATTCATGGTTGACATGTCATCAAGGTGCACATGTGAGGAGAGCGAGGATTGCATTCACAAGAAGGTAGAGGCAATATGCATGGCAGCGTCACACCTTCCACGAGAGCCATTGAGTCGTCGTGAGGCAGTCGCAAGTCCCGAGAGAGAGCAATGGTTGAAGGCCGAGGAAGAAGAGATTGAGAGTCTCATGAAGAGAGGTACATGGCGTCTTGTTGAGCCACCTCCAGGGAAGAAGGTAATTGGTGTCAAGTGGGTGTACAAGATTAAGGTAAAAGGTGATGGTACACTTGATAGGTACAAGGCAAGGTTAGTGGCAAAAGGTTATTCCCAAATTCCAGGTCTAGACTTCACCGAAACCTTTGCCGCAGTAGCGAAGTACACCACGGTACGAGTCCTCCTCGCCATAGCCGCATATCTTGGTCTCCATATCCATCAAATGGATGTCAAGAACGCATTTCTCTACGGTGTCTTGGAAGAAGAGGTATACATGGCACAACCCGAAGGTTATGATGATGGTACGGGTCGAGTTTGTCGCTTGGTAAAGTCCCTTTATGGTCTCAAACGGTCCCCACGGGTATGGTATCATGCTCTTGAGAAGGTACTCTTCAAGCACGGTTTCACAAGGTCCATGAGAGACAACGCGTTGTACTTCATGCACACGAGTGAGGGGGAGTACATTTGGCTCTTGGTATATGTCGATGATCTCCTCCTAGTCTCAGGTTCTCTTGATCTCCTCAACAAGGTGAAAGGTATTCTCATGAGTGCATTCACAATGACCGATCTTGGTGAGCCGAGTCATTATCTTGGTATGAACATTGTGAGAGATCATAAGTCACGGTCCATCTTCCTATTCCAGCAAAGGTACATCCAAAAGGTCCTTGAGAGGTTTGGTCTTGATGATAGCAAGCCATCACCTACCCCACTTCCTACGAACTTTGTCCCTTTGTCTTCACATCAGCCCTTTGAGGAGAGAGAGTCAAGCCTGGATATCACGGGTATTGAGGAGTTGTGTCTTGAGGAGAGTGAGCATCATGGTGAGAATTCACCCAAGGTATCCCCACAAGACCTAGCTCTCTACCAAAGTCAGGTTGGGTGTCTCATGTATGCAACCCTATGCACAAGGCCCGACCTAGCATTCACGGTATCCAAGCTCGCTCAACACATGAGTGCCCCATCACCTATCTGTGAGAATAGGAAAAACAGGAATGAGTGAACTATGAATGAAAGCAGTACAAATATGAAACCCTAACTGGGTTGTACCCCCTATGGGATACCCCACTACAGCCTACACAGCAGTATAAGCTATAGATATGTTCTGACACACCCCCATAGGCAAAGTGGGGGAGAACAAGGGGTCACAAGACCAGTCAAGCAAGACAAAGCAAAGCTCAGGGTGGATCACAAAGTCACCACACAGTCCGAGCACAAGAGCAAGGCCAAAGGCCAGTTCACAAGCAAGAGTACAGACATATATATAAAGCTAGACAAGCAAGAGCAGGTATATATATATGTCACAGTACAAGTGAAGTCAAGAGGAGAGCAAGTGAGGCAAGACAGGCACAAGACCCAGCTGGGTGCAGAAGCGCTGATGGTCACAAGGCGCAAGTGCCTTGGTGAACACATCAGCAGTGTTGGCCTCAGAGGCCACGTACGCAAGTCGCAACTGACCACGCTGCTGCAGCTCACGAGCAAGGAAGTAGCGGAGAGCAATGTGCTTCGTTCTGTGCTCCAAGCGCTGCTCTCGACACAAGGCCAGCATAGCCTTGTTGTCTACGTACAGCACTGGAGGAGAACGAGGCGGCTCTCCAAGGTCAGTCAGCAGGTAGGTGAGCCAGCGAAGCTCCTGTGCAGCCATGGCCCCGGCGTAGATCTCAGCCTCACAACTGGAGCCGAGAACCGAAGACGAGCGAGTAGACCGCCACGAGACAGAGCCGGAACCAAGGCTGAAGGTGTAACCCTGTGACGACCGCTGCGTAGCCTGGTCGTCAGCCCAAGACGCGTCCGCGTGGCCGGTAAGGACCACTGGACTCCGCCCTCCAAGCACTAGCCCCATGCCTGACGTACTGCACAGGTAGCGCAATACCCTCTTCGCTGCAGCCATGTGCTCCGGTCTGTGTCTCCCAGCAGCAACATAGCGTGCAAGAATGCTCAGAGGGTATGCAAGGTCAGGTCGTGTGCAGGTCATCAGGTACATGAGGCAGCCAACAAGCTCCGCATACGGACCACTCGACTCTACGGACTCATCCGAAGGCAGAGCTGAGAGTGAGTGGCGAGTAGGCAGAGGAGTGGCCTGAGGCGAGGAGTACGTGAAGCCGAAGCGCTGAAGGACCTGCTGCACCATGTGTGACTGAGTCAAGGTAATGGTGCGGCGTGCTCTGTCCCGAGTGATCTGCAAGCCAAGGTAGCTGCGCAGTTCACCCAGGTCTGTGCACGTGTGTCTCTTCAACAGCTCGGACTTCACGTAGGCGAGTCCAGCAGTGTCCGCTGTGGCAAAGACCAGGTCGTCGACGTACACGAGGATGTAGAACGGCGGCAGGGAAGTGTCGGTGCGAAGAAACAGCGACGGGTCAGCAGTAGAAGGAGCAAACCCAAGAGCCGCAAGCGTAGTCCTCAGTGTGTCGTGCCACTCACGCGGTGCCTGGCGGAGACCGTAGACTGGCCGTCGGAGGCTCCACTGGGTGCCAGGAGGGAAAGTCCCAGTGAAGCCAGGTGGACGGCGAAGCCAGATCTCCTCGTGCAGGCTACCCTGCAAGAACGCAGTGCTGAAGTCGAGAGAGTGAAGCTCGTAGTCGCGCTGAGCGGCTATGTGCAGCAGCACCCGAAGAGTAGTCATCTTCGGGGTGGGAGAGAAGGTCTGAAAGTAGTCAACTCCCTGCCGCTGACTGAAGCCACGAGCAACGTACCGTGCCTTGAAGACAGGTGGAGAGCCCGGCGGCCGCTTCACCCTGAAGATCCACATGCCACTGACGATGTTCGCCCCAGGAGGGGGAACCGCGTCAACGTAGGTGCCTGTGGACTTCCAGGAAGCCATCTCTTCGTCCATAGCTGCCTGCCACTGAGAGGAGTAGGGACCCTCTACGGCCTCCGCGTAAGAACGCGGAGTCGGGATGTCTAGTGCATCCGGGTCTCCCTCAGGGGCAAGCAGTACAGACGCGAGATGAGGTGAAGCAGCTGCTAGACACTGTAACTCCTCCTGCCTGTCCTCTAGGACGTCCGTGCCAAGAGCACACTCACCCCCGACGGACGGAGGACAGACAAACGCAGACTCAGCAACAAGACTAGCAGCGTAGTCGAGACGACAGCGAGCAGCAAAGTCGACGAGCTCAGCGACTAGAGCAGACGCAGCAGTGGACTCAAAAGATGGGTCAGTGACGACAGTAGCAAGCAGACGCGTGACAGTGGGACTGGCAGCACGAAGAGAGTCCGACTCAGGGTCCGCAAGCGCAGGAAGAGAGGACTCAGGAGGAGAAGGCAAAGGGGCACGCAGAGGAGCAGTGGACGGACGTAAAGACATCCGGTGCGTGCCAGGGACAGGAGGAGGACGCTGACGCGAACTGCGACCACTAGCGCGAGCAGCACGAACAGGCGACGCGGGACGAGACGCAGGCTCACGACGCTCAGCAAGACCTCCAGTAGGACCAGTGTAAGGAGAGGGAGCAGGCAGCGGAGAGGAAGGCTCCAGTAGGGGCTGCGACTGGACAGGCGGTGGACCCTCTACTGGAGGAGAAAGACCAAGAACCTGCTGAAGGAGCGGAACGAAGTACGGCCGAGGCCGCGCGGCAGCTCCAGACTCAGCAGGGACAGCACCAGCACCCTCAGCGACAGCACCAGCGCCACCCACACCTCCAGCGGCAGGACCAACAGCAGCAGGCTCAGCACGAACGCCCTCAGCAGCTCCAGCTCCAGGAGGACCTGCAGGGCCAGCAGCTCCGGGACCGGCTGCACCCGCACCCTCGACGGTCGAAGAAGCTCCAGCTCCAGCTCCAGCAGCACCTCCAGACTCAGCAGCACGCCTCCAGCGGCGAGCGAACCACTCGCGCAGCTCCTGTGGAGAGAGGGGCTCCCGGCGAGACGCAGCAGCAGGAGAAACCCCAGGCTCAGCAACTCCAGACGCAGCACCCCCAGGCTCAGCAGCTCCCAGCTCAGCACCCCCAGGCTCAGCAGCTCCAGGCACAGCACCCCCCGGCTCAGCACCCCCAGGCTCCGCACCCTCCGCAGTAGCACCCTCAGGCCCAGCACCCCCAGCAGTAGCACCCCCAGGCTCAGCACCCCCGCGCACAGCACCCCCAGAGTCAGCACCCCCAGGCCCAGCACCCGCAGCAGCACCAGAGTCACCAGTAACCTCGACCGGGTCAACGGCGTCTACCTGGGACACACCTGAGGGGGCAGGAACCTGAGGGGGGAGGGGGTCTACCGGGGGGGGAACCGGCACAAGGAAGTCCGGGGGAGGGGGGAGGGAAGGAGTGCGGTAGGGGAAGAGACGGTAGAAGGGGACTGACTCGTCGAACGTGACGTCCTGGGAGGACAGAACACGACGAGAGGAGGGGTGGTAAAACTGCCACCCTGGGGCGTCAGTGGGGAAGCCAAGGAAGACACAGGGAGCAGCACGAGGGGACAGCTTGTCCGCAGACAAGTCGCGGACAAACGCCCGAGATCCCCAGACACGGAACACAGACGCATCGCCAACCTTCCCCGTCCACAGCAAGGCTGGGGACATCGCTGGCCGAGAGACCCGGGGGTGAAGGTTGAGCTGATGCGCCGCGTACCTCACCGCAAACGGCCACAGAAAATGGGGGGCAGCCGCATGCATCATGGACGTACGAGCGACATCCATGACCATGCCAATGCGGCGCTCAGCAATCCCATTTTTCTGTGGTGAGTCCGGAAGCGTGAAGGTCTGGCGGATCCCCCGTGCACGACAGTAGTCTCGTAGAAGGCGAGAAGAGAACTCTCCGCCTCTGTCAGAGTGCAGACGCAGAACAGGAAAGTCCGAGCCGAAGCTCTTCCTGAGCTGGAGACGAGCCTCGCGGATCCAGTCGATCAGCACCTCAGTGACCGCACCCTTGCTGCGCAAGGGGAGGACTGTGGTGTAACGCGAGTAGTCGTCAACCACCAACAGGAAGTAGCGCTCGTAACCCTGCCCACGGACAGGGGCTGGGCCCCACACATCCATGTGAAGCGTCTGCAGGGGAGCCTCTGTCGGGGGGAAGTGGGAGGAGTGAGGAGTAGCCCGGAGGCGACCCTCGACACAGGGGACACAGGAAGGTCCTGGCCCGGAGGGGAGAGGAGGGAGAGACTGGGGAAGACCAGAGACAAGGACACGGGAAGCCATGCTCCGAAGACGGGGCAAGGAGGGGTGGCCAAGACGGTGGTGCCACAGGAGAGTCTCGTGAGACAGGAGGCGACAAGAACAGGGTGCAGACTCAGGACCTCACCGGGACGCAGCAGCAAGCACCTGACCCGACGCAGCCACCTGACCAGACGCAGGGACAGGAGGAGACTCAACGGTCAGGGTGTAGAGACTCGACCCCGGCCGACGTGAGAACGTGGCCAGGTGTCGGCCTGTGCAAGCCTCCGTGCAGTGGGTCACCCTCTGACGCGCAGGAGTGAACTGGTGAACACCCCCATCCTGCAGGTCCGCTCCACTCACCAAGTTCGTAGAGAACGAGGGAAGGTACAGACCCGACAGGGTGCCCGAAGGGGCAGCCGGACACGGGAGGACAGTGGAGAAGTGAGACAGGACAGGACCCCCAGAGGGGTCAGCAAGGGAGACCGCAACCGGCCTGGCGAGCGGCGAAAGGGTAGTGCGGTCTCGAAAGAAGGAGCGAGAAGCTCCGGAGTCAAGTGTGAAAGTGAGGGAGGACGAGGACGACTCAGTACCTGAGAGCGCAGTCTCACCAGTACCTGAGAGCGCAGACGCACTGGCACCTAGAGCAGCAGCCTCACAAGCACCTAGCGCAGCAGTACCAATGCCCGGGTCGGGCTGAAAACACCGGTAACCCTCATTCTCCTCACTATAATCCACAACATACATAGCAGTAAGGATAGCATCAAAATCAAGATCAAAGATCGCTACACCAGCCCTGAGAAGCTCATCCCAGCGAGGGATCTCACTAGCCCCAGGGAACTGCTGACGCCAAGCGTCCGTCAGGCGGCCAAAGCAGCGCTGGGTGGCGTGGGCACCCCCACACTGCTCACCCGCGCGGTCGCCGGAACGAAGAACGTAGGTGCAGGGACCAGTACCCCCACCCCTCTGACGCCCAGCGTACCACTCACGAAGCTGCTGAGGCGAAGGGATGTCCCGCGAGCGCTGCTGCTGCTGCCGGTGCGAGCGCTGGCCACCACCACCGCCGCTACGCTGCGGGGTACCACCCCGACCAGCTCCACCTCCTCCACCACTACTGCCTCCTCCGCTGCCGCCTCCACTGCCTCCACCTCCGCCGCCTCCACCTCCGCCGCTGCCTCCACCACCACCGCTGGCACCACCACCACCGTCTCCGCCGCTGCTGCCGCCACCACCACCACCACCCCCGCCACTAGCCCCGCCGCCACCCCCACTCCCTACGCCGCCACCGCCGCCACCGCCACCGCCCCCTCCAGCTCCACCCGCGCCCTTGCCCCCCTTGCCCTTGCTGGAGCGAAGTCTCCCACTAGGGGCAGACGCCGCGCCGACCGACTCAAGACCAAGCAGGTCGGCAGCAGCAGCAGAGGCAACAGAGGGCAGCAAGGGGGAAGGAGAGCACCCCTCAAAGATGGGGGTGCGAGGGTCACCACGAGAAGCACCTACAGCGACTATGCTCTTCTCCGCTGCAAGGAGGGCCTTCTCGAGGAGGTCGACGGTGAGAGTGGTGGGACAGACTGCGAGAAAGTGGTCCCTGACGACGCGAAGGGAGTCAGGGAGGCGTGCGACTACGTAGTAGAGAGCGATGTACATGGGGGGGGGGTTCTTAGCGCAGAACTCAGCAGGAAGGGCGGCGCGGTAGCGAGTGTCACTAGTGCGGAGGTGCGTAATGAGGTCAGCGACAGTGGGAAAGGCAGAGAGGTCAGGAAAGAGGTAGGGAAGCATGAGACGGCTCAGTGCAGCAGTGGCAGGGGAGGCGTAGCGCGCAACTACAGCGTCGTACAAGGTCTGAGCACTCTTGTACTGACTAAAGTGCGCACGCTCAGAGGTAGGGAGGTGGCGACGCACAGCAAGACGTGCAGCAGCATCGCGGGTGGCCCACTTAGAGCGGACAGCGGGATCAGCATCAGCAGCAGGGACAGGAGAGGCGCCAGAGGTGAGGTCAAAGAGAGAAAGGTCGTCAGCCCTGTCGCACTGTAAGAACAGCTGCAGGTCGTCTAACCAGACCTCAAAATCAATGGCGCGACCCTCAGCGTCAAAAGCTAGGACACTAGGGGTAGCCATGGTGATGACAGCGACGCAGTGCAAGCAGTAGGGAAAGAGCTCGCAGTGTCAGTGGGACTGTGCTCACCAGGCAGGGCAGGTCGTGTAGTCAGCAGAAAGGCGGCTCAGCGACCGGGCGGCTCGGGTGCACAGCTGCTCGGCTCCCGGGCGGCTCGGCGGCTGGGCGGCTCGGGCGCAGGGCGGCTCGGCTCCCGGGCGGCTCGGCGGCTGGGCAGCTAGGGTGCAGGGCGGCTCGGCTGCTGGGCGGCTCGGGTGCAGGGCGGCTCGGCTCCCGGGCGGCTCGGCGGCAGGGCGGCTCGGGTCCCGGGCGGCTCGGCTGCTGGGGCGGCTCGGCCGGGAGATGCAGCGTCGGGCCGGCAGGTGCAGCGTCGGGCCGGCAGGTGCAGCGGCGGGCCGGCAGGTGCAAGTGGCGGGCCGTAAGAGGCGGCGGGCCGATGGGTGCAGCGGCGGGCCGGTAGGTGCAGCGGCGGGCCGGCAGGAGCAGCGGCGGGCCGGCAGGGTGCAGCGGCGGGCCGGCAGGAGCAGCGACGGGCCGGCAGGGTGCAGCGGCGGGCCGTAGAGTGCAGCGGCGGGGCCGTCGGCAGCAGAGGCGGGGCCGCGTCAGAGGAGGCGGCGTGGCCGCGTCAGGGGAGGCGGCGGGGCCGCGTCAATGGAGGCGGCGGGGCCGCGTCAGGGGAGGCGGCGGAGTCGCGTCAGGGGAGGCGGCGGGGCCTCGTCAGGGGAGGCGGCGGGGCCGCGTCAGGGGAGGCGGCGGGGCCGCGTCAAGGGAGGCGGCGGGGCCGCGTCAAGGGAGGCGGCAGGGCCGCGTCAGAGGAGGCGGCGGGGCCGCGTCAGGGGAGGCGGCGAGGCCGCGTCAAGGGAGGCGGCGGGGCCGCGTCAAGGGAGGCGGCGGGGCCGCGTTAAAGGAGGCGGCGGGGCCACGTCAAGGGAGGCGGCTGGGCCGCGTCAGGGGAGGCGGCAAAGCCGCGTCAGAGGAGGCGGCGGGGCCGCGAGTGAAAAGGCGACCCGAGGGGTCGCTAAAAAAAAAGGGCGCGCCTCGGGGCGCGCGTCGGTGGGCCCAGACAACGGTCCTAAGGTAGGACCCGCTCTATACCATGTGAAAATAGGAAAAACAGGAATGAGTGAACTATGAATGAAAGCAGTACAAATATGAAACCCTAACTGGGTTGTACCCCCTATGGGATACCCCACTACAGCCTACACAGCAGTATAAGCTATAGATATGTTCTGACACTATCCATATGCATGCAGCCAAGCGAGCTCTTCGGTATCTCAAAGGTACTTCTAATCATGGTCTTCTCTTCCAAGCCAGCCCACATGCAAGCTCCCTCCAAGGCTTTACCGATGCAGATTGGGCGGGAGATTTGAGCACACGCAAGTCCACCGGTGGCTATATCTTCCTTATGTGCGTTGCCGCTGTTTCTTGGCAATCGCGCAAGCAAAGTTGTGTGGCGCTTTCTACAACCGAAGCTGAGTACATAGCAATGATCGAAGGAGCAAGGGAGGCAATTTGGTTACGTGGACTCTTGGAGGACTTTGTTGGGAACAAATAAGTTAAGCGCCTCTGTCGTGTCGAAACTCAGGACACAAAGCGAAGAAGTCCAAATCGAAGCATCGCGAGTCAACCCTCGGAGGTTAGGGTAACCGCCTGGAGGTTAAGCTAAGGTCAAAGGTCAGCGACCTTTGACTTGACCAATACAGCGCGACAGCAAGGACACACAACTGACTCGACATTGAGCAGTTGCCCGAGTCGCACTGTATCGAATCGCAACAGCAAGGTAGTTTAATTACATCTATTCGTATTCCTTGTACTCTTATATAAAGCTTTGTATTTGCCTGTTTTAATTAACTTACTTTGCCCTCACATACCAGCGCAAGGTGGTTCAAGGCTTTCTTATTCAACGCTTCCGCTATTACATCATCCTACTCAAACTTTAACTCTACAAAGATCCTAGGGCACCTCAACCCAATATGGTATCAGAGCAGTTAGAGTTAAAATTCATTATTCAACACTCAATACATCAAAGAAGACATGTCTGCTAGAAAGGAGAGGAGCTCCTCCAACGGCTCTCCCGGTACTACCCCTACTCCACCACCTGCCTCTGGCCTACTGACAGAGGAGGGGACAACGACGAGACCAGCAGCTGGGTCTACGGAAACACCCGCAAACCAAGGCGCGGGCTTCGATCCAAGCATGATGGAGAAATTTTTCTCCTTCATGTCCTTCTACGAGCAGCACCAGCAAGGAGCACCTGCGCAATCAAACAACAGCAACAACAACAACAACGTGACGCCTATGAGTCTCGATGGCTCATCCTACGCGCGCGGGAATCAACATCAACAACCCACCTTTGCCCCGTACGAGCCCCAGCGTGGCTCCGTCAGCTTCATGCCGCAACCCCAATCTGCACCAGGACAAGAAAGGGCATTGGACGCATTGCAAGTTCAGTCGCAATTCGCGCACGACCTAAAGCTGCAAACGACAAAGCCTTTCGACGGCAAAGACTTCTTCACCTGGTCGTTCGAGTTCGAATTGATGATGGAAGGAGCACAGATTCTCGGCTTCTTCGACGGGTCCCTGCCATATCCAACAAACGGGACACAATATGAGAAGCAGCAGTACACCTATCAATCAATGATGGCGTACACGATACTGCTAAGAAACATCACCCCGACCCAGCAACAGAACATCAGAACCTACCGAGGCTACGGCAACTCCGCGGAGCTCGCGTACAACCACCTGAAGAACCTGTATCAAGCAACAGACAGCGTAAATCAAAGCAGGTTAATGGCGCAGCTGACAACGATTGAAATGAGACCAGGCGAGAAAGGCATGGCTTATATCAGCCGCTGCCGCGAACTGCGCGACAAGCTTCTTCGATGCGGAGGGTCAATTTCAGAAGACGCCTTTGTCACGGTGGTCATCGGCGGTCTCGGCCCCCACTGGCGCTCCACTCGCGCCATATTACGAGCACACGGGAGGATCTCCGAAGCGGCACTTTGCACCGAAATCCACGCCGAGCAGCAAGACATGGACCTGCAAGAAGAAAGACACAAGAAGAAAACATTAGCACCGGAGTTTGCATTTCACACTCAGCGACGATACAACGGCAACAACAATCGACAACAGCAACAAGTGAAGATGGTACCTCCGTTTTGTCACATCTGCAAGACCTCGGGTCATCCTCGCACACACTGCCCGTCCCGTCAGCAGTCGATGATGTGAAACAATGAGAAGAGGAATGAGAATGACTAAGTCACAAATTGGTACAAATAACAAACCCTAGGAATCTGTACCCCATATGTGCTACCCCACTATAGCCTACAAACATGTATCAGCTATAATGTTCTGACACACCCCCATAGGCAAAGTGGGGGAGAACAAGGGGTCACAAGACCAGTCAAGCAAAGCAAAGCAAGCTCAGGGTGGATCACAAAGTCACCACACAGTCCGAGCACAAGAGCAGGGCCAGAGGCCAGTTCACATGCAGGAGTACAGACATATATATAGTACTAGACAAGCAAGAGCAGGTATATATATATATCACAGTACAAGTGAAGTCAGGAAGAGAGCAAGTGAGGCAAGACAGGCACAAGACCCAGCTGGGTACAGAAGCGCTGATGGTCACAATGCGCGAGTGCCTTGGTGAACACATCAGCAGTGTTGGCCTCAGAGGCCACGTACGCAAGTCGCAGCTGACCACGCTGCTGCAGCTCACGAGCAAGGAAGTAGCGGAGAGCAATGTGCTTCGTTCTGTGCTCCAAACGCTGCTCTCGACACAAGGCCAGCATGGCCTTGTTGTCTACGTACAGCACTGGAGGAGAACGAGGCGGCTCTCCAAGGTCAGTCAGCAGGTAGGTGAGCCAGCGAAGCTCCTGTGCAGCCATGGCCCCGGCGTAGATCTCAGCCTCACAACTGGAGCCGAGAACCGAAGACGAGCGAGTAGACCGCCACGAGACAGAGCCGGAACCAAGGCTGAAGGTGTAACCCTGTGACGACCGCTGCGTAGCCTGGTCGTCAGCCCAAGAAGCGTCCGCGTGGCCCGTAAGGACCACTGGACTCCGCCCTCCAAGCACTAGCCCCATGCCCGACGTACTGCACAGGTAGCGCAATACCCTCTTCGCTGCAGCCATGTGCTCAGGTCGGTGTCTCCCAGGAGCAACATAGCGTGCAAGGATGCTCAGAGGGTATGCAAGGTCAGGTCGTGTGCAGGTCATCAGGTACATGAGGCAGCCAACAAGCTCTGCATACGGGCCACTCGACTCTACGGACTCATCCGAAGGCAGAGCTGAGAGCGAGTGGCGAGTAGGCAGAGGAGTGGCCTGAGGCGAGGAGTACGTGAAGCCGAAGCGCTGAAGGACCTGCTGCACCATGTGTGACTGAGTCAGGGTAATGGTGCGGCGTGCTCTGTCCCGAGTGATCTGCAAGCCAAGGTAGCTGCGCAGTTCACCCAGGTCTGTGCACGTGTGTCTCTTCAGCAGCTCGGACTTCACGTAGGCGAGTCCAGCAGTGTCCGGTGTGGCAAAGACCAAGTCGTCGACGTACACGAGGATGTAGAACGGCGGCAAGGAAGTGTCGGTGCGAAGAAACAGCGACGGGTCAACAGTGGAAGGAGCAAACCCAAGAGCCGCAAGCGTAGTCCTCAGTGTGTCGTGCCACTCACGCGGTGCCTGGCGGAGACCGTAGACTGGCCGTCGGAGGCTCCACTGGGTGCCAGGAGGGAAAGTCCCAGTGAAGCCAGGCGGACGGCGCAGCCAGATCTCCTCGTGCAGGCTACCCTGCAGGAACGCAGTGCTGAAGTCGAGAGAGTGAAGCTCGTAGTCGCGCTGAGCGGCAACGTGCAGCAGCACCCGAAGAGTAGTCATCTTCGGGGTGGGAGAGAAGGTCTGAAAGTAGTCAACTCCCTGCCGCTGACTGAAGCCACGAGCGACGTAACGCGCCTTGAAGACAGGCGGAGAGCCCGGCGGCCGCTTCACCCTGAAGATCCACATGCCACTGACGATGTTCGCCCCAGGAGGGGGAACTGCGTCAACGTAGGTGCCTGTGGACTTCCAGGAAGCCATCTCTGCATCCATAGCTGCCTGCCACTGAGAGGAGTAGGGACCCTCTACAGCCTCCGCGTAAGAACGCGGAGTCGGGATGTCTAGTGCATCCGGGTCTCCCTCAGGGGTAAGCAGTACAGACGCGAGATGAGGTGAAGCAGCCGCTAGACACTGTAACTCCTCCTGCCTGTCCTCTAGGACGTCCGTGCCAAGAGCACACTCACCCCCGACGGACGGAGGACAGACAGACGCAGACTCAGCAACAAGACTAGCAGCGTAGTCTAAGCGACAGCGAGCAGCAAAGTCGACAAGCTCAGTGAGTAGGGCAGACGCAGCAGAAGACTCGAAAGAAGGGTCAGTGACCACAGTAGCAAGGAAACGCGTGACAGTAGGACTGGCAGCACGCAGAGAGTCCGACGCAGGGTCGGCAAGCGCAGGAAGAGAGGACGCAGGAGGAGAAGGCAAAGGGGCACGCAGAGGAGCAGTGGACGGACGCAAAGACATCTGGTGCGTGCCAGGGACAGGAGGAGGACGCTGACGCGAACCGCGACCAGTAGCGCGAGCAGGACGAACAGGCGACGCAGGACGAGACGCAGGCTCACGACGCTCAGCAAGACCTCCAGTAGGACCAGTGTAAGGAGAGGGAGCAGGTAGCGGAGAGGAAGGCTCCAGCAGGGACTGCGACTGGACAGGCGGTGGACTCTCTACCGGAGGAGAAAGACCAAGAACCTGCTGCAGTAGCGGAACGAAGTACGGTCGAGGCCGCTCAGCAGCTCCAGGCGCAGCAGGGACAGCTCCAGCACCCTCAGCGACAGCACCAGGGCCACCAACTCCTCCAGCAGCAGGACCAACAGCAGCAGTCTCAGCACCAACACCCTCAGCAGCGCCAGCTCCAAGAGGACCAGCAGGCCCAGCAGCTCCGGGACCGGCAGCACCAGCACCCTCGTCAGTCGAAGAAGGTCCAGCTCCAGCTCCAGCAGCACCACCAGACTCAGCAGCACGCCTCCAACGACGAGCGAACCACTCGCGCAGCTCCTGTGGAGAGAGAGGCTCCCGGAGAGGCTGAGCAGCAGGAGAAACCCCAGGCGCAGTAGCTCCAGACGCGGCACCCCCAGGCTCAGCAGCTCCAGACACAGCACCCCCAGGCGCAGCAGCTCCCAACTCAGCACCCCCAGGCTCAGCAGCTCGCGACTCAGCACCCCCAGACCCAGCACCTCCAGGGACAGCACCCCCCGGCGCAGCACTCCTAGGCTCCGCACCCTCCGCACTAGCACCCCCAGGCTCAGGACCCCCAGCAGCAGCTCCTCCAGGCTCAGCACCCCGGCGGACAGCACCCCCAGAGTCAGCACCCCCAGGCTCAGCACCCGCAGCAGCACCAGAGTCACCAGAAACCTCGACCGGGTCAACGGCGTCTACCTGGGACACACCTGAGGGAGCAGGAACCTGAGGGGGAAGGGGGTCTACCGGGGGGGGAACCGGCACAAGGAAGTCCGGGGGAGGGGGGAGGGAAGGAGTGCGGTAGGGGAAGAGACAGTAGAAGGGGACCGACTCGTCGAACGTGACGTCCTGGGAGGACAGAACACGACGAGAGGAGGGGTGGTAGAACTGCCACCCTGGGGCGTCAGTGGGGAAGCCAAGGAAGACACAGGGAGCAGCACGAGGGGACAGCTTGTCCGCAGACAAGTCGCGGACAAACGCCCGAGATCCCCAGACACGAAACACAGACGCATCGCCAACCTTCCCCGTCCACAGCAAGGCTGGAGACATCGCAGGCCTAGAGACCCGCGGGTGAAGGTTGAGCTGATGCGCCGCGTACCTCACCGCAAACGGCCACAGAAAATGGGGGGCAGCCGCATGCATCATGGACGTACGAGCGACATCCATGACCATGCCAATGCGGCGCTCAGCAATCCCATTTTGCTGTGGTGAGTCCGGAAGCGTGAAGGTCTGACGGATCCCCCGTGCACGACAGTAGTCTCGCAGAAGGCGAGAGGAGAACTCTCCGCCTCTGTCCGAGTGCAGACGCAGAACAGGAAAGTCAGAGCCGAAGCTCTTCCTGAGCTGGAGACGAGCCTCGCGGATCTAGTCGATCAGCACCTTAGTGACAGCACCCTTGCTGCGCAAGGGGAGGACTGTGGTGTAACGCGAGTAGTCGTCAACCACCAACAGGAAGTAGCGCTCGTAACCCTGCCCACGGACGGGGGCCGGGCCCTTCACATCCATGTGAAGCGTCTGCAGCGGAGCCTCTGTCGGGGGGAAGTGGGAAGAGTGAGGAGTAGCCCGGAGGCGACCCTCGACACAGGGGACACAGGAAGGCCCTGGCCCGGGGGGGGGAGGAGGGAGAGACCAGGGAAGACCAGAGACAAGGACACGGGAAGCCATGCTTCGAAGACGAGCCAAGGAGGGGTGGCCCAGACGGTGGTGCCACAGGAGAGTCTCGTGAGACAGGAGGCGACAGGAACAGGGGGCAGACTCAGGACCCGACCGGGACGCAGCATTAAACACCTGACCTGACGCAGCTACCTGACCAGACACAGGGACAGGAGGAGACGAAGTGGTCAGGGTGTAGAGACTCGACCCCGGCTGACGCGAAAAGGTGGCCAGGTGTCGGCCTGTGTCTGCGTCCGTGCAGTGGGTCACCCGCCGCCTCGCAGGAGTGAACTGGTGAACCCCCGCATCCTGTAGGTCCGCACCACTCACCAAGTTCGTAGAGAACGAGGGAAGGTACAGACCAGACAGAGTGCCCGAAGGGGCAGCCGGACACGGGAGGACAGTGGAGAAGTGAGACAGGACAGGACCCCCAGAGGGGTCAGCAAGGGAGACCGCAATCGGTCGGCCAAGTGGCGTGAGGGTAGTGCGGTCTCGAAAGAAGGAGCGAGAAGCCCCAGAGTCAAGTGTGAAAGTGAGGGAGGACGAGGGCGACGCAGTACCTGAGAGCGCAGTCTCACCAGCACCTGAGAGCGCAGTCTCACCAGTACCTGAGAGCGCAGACGCACTGGCACCTAGAGCAGCAGCCTCACAAGTACCTAGGGCAGCAGTACCAATGCCCGGGTCGGGCTGGAAACACCGGTAACCCTCATTCTCCTCACTATAAGTCACAGCATACATAGCAGAAAGGATAGCATCAAAATCAAGATCAAAGATCGCTACACCAGCCCTAAGGAGCTCATCCCAGCGAGGGATCTCACTAGCCCCGGGGAACTGCTGACGCCAAGCGTCCGTCAGGCGGCCAAAGCAGCGCTGGGTGGAGTGGGCACCCCCACACTGCTCACCCGCGCGGTCGCTTGAACGAAGAACGTAGGCGCAGGGGCCAGTACCCCCACCCCTCTGACGCGCAGTGTACCACTCACGAAGCTGCTGAGGCGGAGGGATGTCCCGCGAACGCTGCTGCTGCTGCCGCTGCGAGCGCTGACCACCACCACCGCCGCTCCGCTGCTGGGTACCACCACGACCAGCTCCACCTCCTCCACCACCACCGCCTCCTCCGCCGCCGCCTCCACCGCCTCCACCTCCACCGCCTCCACCTCCACCGCCTCCACTCCCGCTGCTACCTCCACCACCACCGGTGCCACCACCACCACCGTCTCCGCCGCTGCTGCCACCACCACCACCACCACTACCACTACTCCCGCCGCCACCCCCACTCCCTCCGCCGCCTCCGCTGCCACCGCCACCGCCCCCTCCAGCTCCGCCCGCGCCCTTGCCCCCCTTGCCCTTGCCAGAGCGACGTCTCCCACTAGGGGCAGACGCCGCGCCGACCGACTCAAGACCAAGCAGGTCGGCCGCAGCAGCAGAGGCAACAGAGGGCAGCAAGGGGGAAGGAGAGCACCCCTCAAAGATGGGGGTGCGAGGGTCACCACGAGAGGCACCGACAGCGACAATGCTCTTCTCCGCTGCGAGGAGGGCCTTCTCGAGGAGGTCGACGGTGAGAGTGGTGGGACAGACTGAGAGAAAGTGGTCCCTGACTACGCGGAGGGAGTCAGGGAGGCGTGCGACTACGTAGTAGAGAGTGATGTACATGGGGGGGGGGGTTCTTAGCGCAGAACTCAGCAGGAAGGGCGGCGCGGTAGCGAGTGTCACTAGTGCGGAGGTGCGTAATGAGGTCAGCGACAGTGGGAAAGGCAGAGAGGTCAGGAAAGAGGTAGGGAAGCATGAGACGGCTCAGTGCAGCAGTGGCAGGAGAGGAGTAGCGTGCAACTACAGCGTCGTACAAGGTCTGAGCACTCTTGTACTGACTAAAATGCGCACGCTCAGAGGTAGGGAGGTGGCGACGCACAGCAAGACGTGCAGCAGCATCGCGGGTGGCCCACTGAGAGCGGACAGTGGGATCAGCATCGGCAGCAGGAGCAGGAGAGGCGCCAGAGGTGAGGTCAAAGAGAGAAAGGCTGTCAGCTCTGTCGCACTGCAAGAAAAGCTGCAGGTCATCTAGCCAGACCTCAAAATCAATGGCGCGACCCTCGGCGTCAAAGGCTAGGACACTAGGGGTGGCCATGATGACGACAGCGAAGCAGTGCAAGCAGTAGGGAAAGAGGGCGCAGTGACAGAGGGGCTGTGCTCACCAGGCAGGGCAGGCAGTGCAGTTCGACAGAAAAGCAGAGCGGCGACCGGGCGGCTCGGGTGTACAGCTGCTCAGCTCCCGGGCGGCTTGGCGGCAGGGCGGCTCGGGTGCAGGGCGGCTCGGCTCCCGGGCGGCTCGGCGACGGACGGCTCGGGTGCAGGGCGACTCGGTTCCCGGGCGGCTCGGCGACTGGGCGGCTCGGCTGCCCGGCCGCTCGACTGCTGCAGGTGAGGCGGCGGGGTCGCGGAAGAGAACCGGGGCGGGGCCGCGAAGGGGCCGGCGGTAGGGCCGCGTAGGAGCCGGGGCAGGGCCGCGTTGGAGCCGGCGGCAGGGCCGGCGGTAGGGCCGGCTTAGGAGCCGGGGCAGGGCCGCGTTGGAGCCGGCGGCAGGGCCGCGCAGGGGTCGGCGCAGGGCCGAGTAGAGGCCGGCGGCAGGGCCGCGTAAGGAGCCGGCGGACAGGGCCGTGAAGGAGCCGGGACGGGGCCGCGTAGGAGGCCGGCGCGGGGCCGCGTAAGGGGCCGTCGCGGGGCCGCGTAAGGGGCAGGCGGCGGGGCCGCGTAAGGAGCCGGCGGACAGGGCCGCGTAGGAGCCGGGGCGGGGCCGCAATGGAGCCGGTGGCGGGGCCGAGTAGGAGCCGGGGACGGGGCCGCGTAGGAGCCGGCGCGGGGCCGCTTAGGAGCCGGCGCGGGGCCGCGTAAGGGGCCGCGTAAGGGGCCGCGTAAGAGCCGGCGCGGGGCCGCGTAAGGGCCGCGTAAGGGGCCGGCGCGGGGCCGCGTAAGGAGCAGGCGGCGGGGCCGCGTAAGGGTCAGGGCGGGGCCGCGACAGAGTGGGCGGCGAGGCCGCAGGGGAGAGGGCGACTCGCGGGGTCGCTAAAAAAAACCGCGCCTCGGGGCGCGCTTCGGTGGGCCCAAAAAAAATCGGTCCTGGAGGGACCTAGCTCTATACCATGTGAAACAATGAGAAGAGGAATGAGAATGACTAAGTCACAAATTGGTACAAATAACAAACCCTAGGAATCTGTACCCCATATGTGCTACCCCACTATAGCCTACAAACATGTATCAGCTATAATGTTCTGACAGACGACACCACAGCGACAACTCCGACCTTCAAGTTCCCAAGTTGCTTCAACGCAAGCAAATCCGACGACCACTATCCAAACTTCAACGACTTCAACTGGACAACCTGCACAAGGAGAAAGAAATATTGTCAATTGCATGGTAAAGATAACCGATTCCTGCACAACAGAATCACCACCCCACTACTCACCGGAAGAAGAGCTCGATAACAGGACGCCTCGCCGCGAGTCACTCCAACCGAATCCGACATACGACGCCATTGCTCAAAGCGAACCGTCCGGCCAAGACACTTGGTTCTTGGACAGTTGCTGCGGACAACATATGTGCTCCTCCGGGCGCTTCGTTCAACGCGAGCATCGACTCCAGCGAGAAGTAGTCATCACGGTCGCCAACAATTAGAACCTGCGCACACGACGACAAGGAGTGGTACAGCTTCAGTCACGAGAGACAAATGTCATATTACACATGTCAAAGGTACTCATCGCGGAGGGACTCGGCTATAACTTACTGAGTGTCAGCCAGTTGATGGCGAAAGGTATTCACTTGGAAGCCGACAGCACTACACAGGAGTTCAAGTTGTACCACGGGAAGGGCGGCCTCTACATCGGAAGGGCGGTGTTGAAGAACAACGTCTTCGTCCTCGATTTCGTCCCCGACCTGGGTACTGGAGATAGCGACGCCATCGTCAACTTCGCCGATTGGACACATCCCCCGGATCTCGATCCCGACTTCAGCCCGGGAGGCTTCTGGTACTCGCACACCATACCTAAAGCAGAACGAACTCGCGCATTAGCAACGATTCAACAATCGGCAGCAGCAGAGACAACATCGGCAGCAGCAGAAACAACATCAGCAGCAGCAACAACATCGGCAGCAGAAGAAACAACATCAGTAGCAGCAACATCATCGGCAGCAGCAGGACCAACGACACCAATCCCCGTCGACGAAGCACCACCAACACCCGCACAGCAGCTGAACCCGACTCAACGAGAAGTCCACAGAAGCGCACACTTCGTCGCCAGCTTCTACTCCAACTCCGACGCGTATCAACGCTCACCCGGACACCGCGCTCCTGAAGACATCTGGCACGCACGCACAGGACATCCAAGCAACACAGTGTTAAATAACACAATTCGAGCAGGAGTTCTAGACAAGGACTCGCTACTACTACCCGACGGCAGAGAACTTCAACGTGCACGAGGAACTTGCCTTATCTGCCCCGAAGCCGACTTACCCCATCGACCGTTTTCTTCTCACCACAACCGAAGCGCACCTACATACGCACCACTCGAGAAGGTGTACAGCGACATCCTCTACAATCGCGAACCAGGACAAGTCACCTACAACTATACGATTACCTTCATCGACGCCGCCACTCGATATGTCTGGCATCTAAACCTACCAAGCCGCGACATGGCACTCGCAGCGTTTGCCGCCTGGCTACCAGTAGCAGAACGAGAGTCGGGAGCACAGCTGAAAAGCTTCCAGTCAGACGGAGGAGGAGAATACACCTCTCAGCGCTTCAAGCAGTACCTGGCGGAAAGAGGAATCAAGCAACTCCTCTCCCTTCCCTACGCCCATCAGCAGCAAGGTGTCGCAGAAAGAATGAACAGGACTCTGCAGAACAGCATGCGCAAACTGCTACGTGGCATGCGGCTACCCAACCACCAGTGGCCTGCAGCAATGGACCATGCTGTCATGCTGCACAACTTGCTGTCGTCGTCGTCACTCCCGAACAACGCATCACCGCACCTGCTGTGGATAGGGAAGCAGGGCAGCACAAAAATGTTACGAGTTTTCGGGTGCATGGTACAGTACCGACCCCCAGAAGCACGAGCGGGAAGATTTTCACAACGGGCACAGTGGGGACTACACCTCGGCATCGAGAAAAATTACAACGCGTGGAAAATCTTCGACGTCCACTCAAAGGAAACAGTAGCAGCACGTGATGTGATCTTCTACGAGCGACTCACCCTTCAAACGTACCTCGCCAACTTGCACGAGAATCAAAACCCCACAGGTGGCTTTCGCGGTGACCGAGCCTTCGCCTCAGCTGCGGACGAAGCAAACTGGGATGAACAGAACGTCGAAAACGCATCGGAAGAAGCCGGACCTCTCCCGTTCTGCTCCGTCAACGTGCCCATGGACGAAGAAAATCCTCGCGACAGTGCCAACGCCGAAGTCTTCTATCACTTCGCCGACAACGGTTACGTAACACCTGCGACAGTCAACACAAATGAAGCAGAACGGATAGGGCCAAATTTCATACCCGATCCAGAAGCGGGAGACGAAGCAGCTTATCCCGAGGATCCAACACTCCCCCGATACTCACAGACTGGGCTGCAAATCCTCGGCCTCGTCACCGCAGTGCACGGCAACGCGCTTCCTAAGGAGCCTGCGACGGTTCAGCAGGCTCTGGGGGGGGAACACAGGGAGAAATGGCGTGAAGCCATGGACAGAGAACTAAAGGCATTGGAGGAACGCAACACCTGGAAGGTCGTTCCCGCAAGCGTGGCAAGGAACAAGACTATTCTCACCGGGAAATGGGTCTTCCGCATCAAAACGAAAGCAGACGGCACGATCGAGAAATTCAAAGCACGCTGGGTCGTGCGTGGATTCGATCAGGAGCAAGGACGAGACTTCACCGAGACATTCGCCCCAGTCAGTCGACATACCTCTCTCCGAATCCTTCTCGCCGTCGCCGCCATGAAGAAGAAGAAGCTGCGACAAATTGATGTCGCCAATGCATTCCTCTACGCACCCGTCGACGCCGAAATCTTCGTCGAACTCCCACACGGTACCCACGGAAACCCCAATCAGATCTGTCAACTACTGAAATCTCTCTGCGGAATCAAACAAGCACCGCAGCTGTGGCAACAGCACCTACACACCCGCCTTACTCGCATCGGATTTCGTCAACTACCTCACGACCAAGGGATGTACCGACTCACCAAAGACGCAGACTACATCCTGCTGATAGTCTATGTTGACGACTTGCTCTACATCGGCTCCACCGACGACGTCACCACCTGGTTCGAAGGGGAGCTGCAGAAGGACCTCACGCTCACGGTCTCTTCTACCGTCACGCAGTACCTCGGGCTCAACATCCGCGAAGAAGAAAATGCGATCTATCTAAGCGCCGAGAAATACGCCGACACGATCGCCAAGCGTTTTTCGCTCACACCTACCGCTATCGCCACGCCATACAGCTACACGGCAGGAGATGACAAAGGAAATTCCGCTCCACTCAAAGCTGCCGGAATACGAGACTACCAAAGGAAACTGGGCTGCCTCCTCTTCGCAGCCGTCACCTGTCGCCCGGATCTATCCTACTCCGCAAGCCAACTCGCTACCTACCTCAAGAAACCCGAAGCAGAGCACCTGGCGGAGCTCGATCGCGCACTGCACTATTTCGTGAGCACGTCGACGATCGGCCTGACTTACTACAAGAACGAAGCTACGTCAACGAAACTAATCGGCTACGTCGATGCCGACCATGCCGGCGATTCAGATAACAGGCGCTCTCGCACTGGCTATGTCTATCGTCTAGAGCCTATCGGACCTATCTCCTGGCAGTCGAGTAAGCAGGAACTAATCGCTCTCTCCTCAGCTGAAGCAGAATATATCGCCCTTTGCTCAGCCACCAAGGAAGGACTCTACCTTCGCGAGCTGCTGGAAGAAGCAAAGTTAGCCGAGTTACCCAACTTCACCTTGTTCTGCGACAACCAATCCGCAATTCGCATCGCCAACAAGAGCGGATTCGCGAACAGAACGAAGCATATCGCCCTACGATACTTCTTCGTGAGAGACGAAATCGAGAAAGGGAAACTCGATCTATCCTACTGTCCCACGTCCGAGATGGCAGCCGACTACTTGACCAAGAAACTTGGAAAACAGAAGTTCGAGTACTGCATGCTGCTGACTGGACAAAGCCACGTCACCATCAGCGACACTCCAGAAGCGAAGGGGAGTGTTGGGAACAAATAAGTTAAGTGCCTCTGTCGTGTCGAAACTCAGGACACAAAGCGAAGAAGTCCAAATCGAAGCATCGCGAGTCAACCCTCGGAGGTTAGGGTAACCGCCTGGAGGTTACGCAAAGGTCAAAGGTCAGCGACCTTTGACTTGACCAATACAGCGCGACAGCAAGGACACACAACTGACTCGACATTGAGCAGTTGCCCGAGTCGCACTGTATCGAATCGCAACAGCAAGGTAGTTTAATTACATCTATTCGTATTCCTTGTACTCTTATATAAAGCTTTGTATTTGCCTGTTTTAATTAACTTACTTTGCCCTCACATACCAGCGCAAGGTGGTTCAAGGCTTTCTTATTCAACGCTTCCGCTATTACATCATCCTACTCAAACTTTAACTCTACAAAGATCCTAGGGCACCTCAACCCAACAGACTTGAGGCAGCCGCAAACTCAACCAACTCCGCTCTATGTGGACAACACTTCAGCTATCGCCCTCTCCAAGAATCCGGTTCATCATGGGCGTACAAAACACATCGAGGTGCAGTACCATTTCATTCGTGAGCAACTAGAGAAGGGAGTTCTCGCCGTCAACTTTTGCCGTTCATTCGACCAAGCGGCAGATTTCATGACTAAGGTTCTTCCACATGATGCATTCAACATGTGCAAGGCAAGAGCAGGTCTCATGACACTTCATGAAGCAGTGCAGCAGTTTGAGGAGAATGAGGAGAAGCAACATGGGCAGCAGCATGGAGTGTATGCCAAGGAGATGTAAGAGGAGAGTAAGAATGGGCGTATGTGTGCTTCGGGTCTGGTGCGAGGGGGAGTGTTGGAGAATCGAGTCTCTGCCGCCCCAGCCCTTTGCACACAAGGAGCAGCAAGAATGTCGGCGACGGATTGAAGGCTTCGCGAAAATTCAGAAACTTCCGCAGCAAAATCAGATTGCAGCCGAAGACTCGATACAGTTCGGGATTGCTCTCAAACAGAAGGGTCGACAGTTTCTACAGGTTTCTACAAAACAGAATCAGCTATAACAGTACATTCCAGAGATTTCTTATTCATGCACCTCATGTGGCTCTCAAGTCACTCAAGGTTCATGGAATCTGAATTGTGCCCAAGTTCCCAAGGAAGTTGCCTTGTCTAGCAGCCTAGTTTGAGCTATCAATCTGCATGTTTGTAATGCTTAAGAAGTTGTGCTTTAGTGGGCTTGTTAATCTTGATCATAGTGAAGTTTTCTCTCATCAAGCCAAGTCCAGCAGCTCTGTTGAGCTTTTCCAGCCAAGTTTCCAGCCTACCAGTCATCAAAGCTACTCTGTTTTGCAAGTATTCTCTGGGCTCGCTCTGGTTAGCGAGCACCAGCCCCCCACACAAAATGAAACAAACTTCGAGATAGCGGGGCGTGTTCAGACAAACCTTAAGATGGAGTTGGAAGACTGAGAGCTTAGGGGTCTGACAGGATGATCGCGATTGTCGCAAGCCATGGTTTCAACACAAAATTGCAGTGCATTGCTAAACGAAACAAAACGACGGCTTCGTTGTTTAATTTGTTACAAACATGTGAAACTTGGACGTTTCAGGAGTGAGTTTTAAGTGCACCCCAGCATGTTCGCCAGCTCAGAATCGCACTTTAGACAGCTTGAATGGAAACAAATCGTTATTGTACGGTTTATGTGAATGCAAATCGGTAATCAGTAACGAGTGCTGAAATGCCTTCTGACCCACGTGTGTTGCTGCACAGTTCACTCACACAAGTCCCATTCCGGGCTCGTGTCAATTTGAGTTGGTGACCTCACACCAACTCAAATTGACACGAGCCCGGAATGCTACCTCACACCACCGACGTACGAGCGCACGATGTGGGGAATACAGCCTTTAGCGAGACTCGCGACATGGTGTCCCCTCGTCTAAATCACAGGCTTGTTCCAGCAATTTGGCATCAGCTGGACGATAAATATATAGCTTCCTCGCCTGCTCTACACCTGACCTCTCTAACGAGCCGCGGATTACCGTGCGGCAATCCACGTTGCTCTATACCCCGCTCCGTCTAACCGCACGGCCGTGCCGCGCGGCCGTCTGCGGATTACTCCCGTGCGGCCGCTGATACCGACTTACAACGGCATGGCGTCCACGTCGTTCCATCTTATAGCGCGTACAGCTACACCCTCATCGTCGCCATGGTACACCCATCAGGCGAGCAATGTACCACAGCGACAGCGTCGCTTGCGGTCGCACAGCCAGTCGCATGTGGGACAGGAATCGCGCAACCGGTTTATTGTAGTGCCGCGCATGTCTGGCGACGACCAGACGACTGCTTCTAGTCGCCGCAGCACCGCAACACCAGCAGCGCAGCAGAGAACCAGAGACGCCGGTACGGACGCAGCAGCAGCATCGGCAGTCGAAGCAACATCCACCACCGACGAGGCCGTTTTGGGCTCAGCAGCCGTCCTAACATGTGAATGTTCGCATGCGCGCGTCTCGCCACACAAGCCCCCTCCGCTGGACCCCCATGGGCTGGCGGAATTTCCAAGCGACTCCCCCCTGCCCTTCGCCCCGCACCTGCGCCTCCTCTGGCGCGCGCTGCAGCAGCAGCCGGGCTTTAAGCCCCTGCCGCTGTCCCCTCACCTGGCTTTCAGGGAGGGCGCGGGGAGGGGCGCGGGCAGGCGGGGAGGGCGGAGTGGGGACGGGAGGGGGGGTGGGGAAGGAGGTAGCGGTGGAGGGAGAGGGGAGGGGGAGCGGGGAAGGGGGGGTGGTGAGCAGGGGGAGGGGGGTGCGCGGGGAGGGGAGGAGGAGAGGCCAGGTGTGAGGAACTGGTTGGTGGAGACGGCAGTGCTGCGGCGGGTGCGGGTGTCGTATGTGGACTGTGGGGCCAAGGTGCAGGCGCTCACTGCTCTCTGCTACCCTCGCTTCAGGTGTGTGCTGCTGCCAACTCCAGGTGTGTAACGTGTCCCACCCATCACCCTCACGGCGGGTGCGGGTGTCGTATGTGGACTGTGGGGCCAAGGTGCAGGCGCTCACTGCTCTCTGCTACCCTCGCTTCAGGTGTGTGCTGCTGCCAACTCCAGGTGTGTAACGTGTCCCACCCATCACCCTCACGGCGGGTGCGGGTGTCGTATGTGGACTGTGGGGCCAAGGTGCAGGCGCTCACTGCTCTCTGCTACCCTCGCTTCAGGTGTGTGCTGCTGCCAACTCCAGGTGTGTAACGTGTCCCACCCATCACCCTCACGGCGGGTGCGGGTGTCGTATGTGGACCATGGGCCCCCCAAAGGTGCAGGCTCTCACCGCTCTCTGCTACCCTCGCTTCAGGCTTGTGCTGCCTGCTTCAGGTGTGTGTGTCCCACTGCTCTCCCTCACACCCTCTCTCCCACACACTCCCTTGGCCCTCCTCTCACTTCCACCTCCTCAGTTGCCGCCTCGCCCTGCTTGCAGTGGTGCTTCTCCTCTCTGCTTCGTCTCCTTCCCTCATGCCCTCCACATGCTGTCTGCTCTTTCGGCCTCCCCCCTCCCTGTTGTGCCTCTACTCCTTTCGCCTGCTGTCACTCTCTCGGTTCCTCGCTGTATTGCCTGCGCTTCCTCTCTCCCCTTCCCCCGCCTCCTCCACGTCTCTCCCAGGTGCGACCTGCCATTGCTGGCAGTTGAGCTGCCATTGCTGGCAGTTGAGCTGCCATTGCTGGCAGTTGAGCTGCCATTGCTGGCAGTTGAGCTGCCATTGCTGGCAGTTGAGCTGCCATTGCTGGCAGTTGAGCTGCCATTGCTGGCAGTTGAGCTGCCATTGCTGGCAGTTGAGCTGCCATTGCTGGCAGTTGAGCTGCCATTGCTGGCAGTTGAGCTGCCATTGCTGGCAGTTGAGCTGCCATTGCTGGCAGTTGAGCTGCCATTGCTGGCAGTTGAGCTGCCATCCCTCATGTCCCTCACATGTTGCCTAGTTTTGAGGCGCCTCAAAACTAGTTTTCCCTCCACCCCCTGCCCTCCCGCCTCCCCCAGGTGCGACCTGCCTCTACTGGCAGTGGAGCTGCTGTGTTTCAACTCCTCCCGCCTGCTCGCCTTCGTTGACCTGCACCCCACGTCGCCCCACCAACTGCACCGCCTCACCCAGGGAAACCTCCTCCCGGTGAGTGTGTGAGCAGCCAGTGAGCCGGTGAGCCCACCTGTTACCATCCCTTGTCAAATCTCTTCATGTTGCGTCGTATCCTACCCCCCATCCTACTCCCCATCCTACTCCCCATCCTACCCATCACGTGCAGGCATCAGTGACTGCTCGTCCGTCTGAGCACTGTCCAACAGCACCACGCCATCTCCTCACACTCATGACCGTTTGCCAGCCTGCACTGCACTGCACCCCGTCCTTTTATTGGTTCCTTTATGTCGCATCCTGCTCCCCATCCTACCTCTCGCGTGCAGGCATCAGTCACTGCCCGTCTGAGCACCATGCGCTCACAGCACGCGCACCTGCTCACGCCCATGACTGCCCGCTTCTTTGCCTCTGACTCGCACTTCCTCTCGCCCCACTTGTCACCCTACTCCCCCCCCCCGTCCCACCAACCACGTGCAGCCCACAGTAACTACCCGTCTGAACACTGTTCGCCCGCAGCACGCCCATCTGCTCACGCCCATGACGGCGCGCTTCTTCGCATCTGACTCACACTTCTTCTCCCCACACCTGCTGCTCTACCGCTCTCAGGACGGCTGGGCCGATGCCAACCTGCAGGTGAGTAAGACCCAGTTGTGCTGTGCCTGTGTGTGCCTGGGTATTGCTACCCTCTGCCCCCCTCGCTTCTTCTCGCCCCACCTGCTGCTCTACCGCTCACAGGACGGCTGGGCTGATGCCAATTTGCAGGTGAGCCGCTGCAGTGCTATGTTTGTGCTATTTTAGGTGCAGCATTGCTGTTCGTCTGGGTGTGGCTGGGTACAGTGCGGTACCCTCTGGCTTGCTTCGTCTTGGCCCACCTTCTGCTCTACCACTCGCAGGACGGCCGGGACGATGCCAAATTGCAGGTGAGTGAGTGAGTGACACCCACTTGCACTGTGCTTGTGCGGGTGCAGCTGGATACAGCATGCTACTCTTTGTTCCTCGCACTTCTTCTCCCCCCACCTGCTGCTCTACCGCTCACAGGCAGGGTGGGCCGATGCCAACCTCCAGGTGAGGGTGCTGCAGTGGTCTACCTGTTGCTGTCCCGTTGGTGGTAAAGATATGGAAATGGCTCACTCTGAGTGCTACCAATAGTCGCACTTCTTCCCCCCCGCACCTGCTGCTTTACTACTGCTCATAGCACGGGTGGGTGGGCTGGGCCGATGCCAACTTGCAGGTGAGTGAGTGAGACCCCGTTGTGCTGCGCCTGTGTGTGCGCCTCTTACCACGTGTGTGGCTGGGTGTGCTGTATGCCACGCTGCCTGTGCCACGCCACCCTCCTGCTCTGCTGGTCACACCATTCATCTCCTCGCCGAGTACATCACAGCCCACCACGACGCCTGCATGGTCATTGCCTCTCTGTTCCCTCAACCCACCCTCTCCCTCCCGTCTCGCACCATCACAGCCGCCCACAGGTAGTGTGTGGCAGCTCCTCACTGAGTACATCACAGCCTACCACGACGCCTGCATGGCATGCCATGGGGGGGCAGCACCACCCACACAGGCGGAGTGCCGTGCAGCAGAGGAGGGACAGAGGGCGTTTGATGAGTACTTTGAGCGCCACGACCCCGCCGTGAACATGCTGGGGCAGCTGTTTGGGGAGCAGGTGAGTCTTGTTGGTGAGGTGAGGCTGTTTGGGGAGCAGGTGAGTCTTGTTGGTGAGGTGAGGCTGTTCGGGGAGCAGGTGAGTCTTGTTGGTGAGGTGAGGCTGTTCGGGGAGCAGGTGAGGCTCTTGTGCTGTCGCTGCTGGGGTATGTCTGGGGAGGAGGTGAGGGCGTTCGATGAGTACTTTGAGCAGCACGACCCCGCCGTGAACATGCTGGGACAGCTGTTTGGGGAGCAGGTGGGGCTTATTGTGTGCTCCTGCTAGGATGAGGTGAGGGTGTTCGGGGAGCAGGTAAGGCCTGTTGATGAGGTAAGGCCTGTTGATGAGGTAGGGTGCCCGTGCTCCTGCTGCTGCACATCATGCATGTCGATGAGTACTTTGAGCTCCACGACCCTGCAGTGAACATGCTGGGGCAGCTATTTGGGGAGCAGGTGAGGCTCTTGTGCTGCCGCTGCTGGATGCGCGAGGGCTATTGGAGCTCTGCTCTGCACATCACATGGGGAGCAAGCCTTCTCCAACAGCCCATACTTCTCTCTCCTGTCGTCTCTGCTTGCATGCGCATGCTCCCACTCGCTACTATCCCTCTCCTTACTGTGTCATTTCTTCTTCACCCTTTGCACTTCTTGTTCCATCTCCATCCCTCCATAACCCCCCCTTTCTTCTCATCATTGCCAGCCCTCATCACCATCTCCATCTTCTGTCGCTGCTCCCATCCCCTTGTTCTCACTTCACTGCTCTCCCCACTCTCTCACACTCAAATTCACCCTCAACCGCTCTCCTTCACTCACTTTTTCACTACTTCCTCCCTCCTACCCCTCCCCACCCCTTCAGTGGACACAAGCGTACACCAACCGCTTCCTCTTCCCCCTCGCTGCTCCCCGTCGCTCCACCGCACCTCCCTCCTCCTCTCCCTCCTTCCTCTTTGTTTCCGCAAGCCCCATCCCTCCTTCCTCCTCGCATTCCCTCTAGCCCGCACCGCGACCCAAGGAGGTTTCATAGTGCCAAGCCAAGAGGAGCTCACTAAGCAAGACAGACCTTCAGGTTTAGCAAGTGGAGTAGCCTAATCCCGGCATCGGGAGCTTCGATAATGTGACACGACAGAGCTGTGAAGTCGCTCACGTGTTCCGCTCACCTGTTGTACCGTACTAGCTATAATGCTGGGTGCTATATCAAATGTAAGTTATTCTTAATGCACTTACCGTACCCTGGCAGTGGCCCACAGATGTCCTGACAACATTCGTGTGCCTTCAGGTTTGGGAATGTGGGACAGCCCACAATCTCGCCATAGGCCTCACCAGGCTGTCGAACACAAGGTCCATCTGAAAGTAACTGCAATACCTTTCGTAGCGAAGGCCCTGTCTGGTCGGACCATGGTTTGATAAAGGTGCTTTGTTTTACGCTATCGGTCGGTAAGTGGGCAAGACATGGTTGGATCAGGGTGGATTATAATGTTGGAAACAATTAACTCTAAGCGCCTCTGTCGTGTCGAAACACCAAGACACAAGCGAAGCAAAACACTATCGAAGCACCAGCGAGTCAACCCTCGGAGGTTGAAGTAACTGTCGGAGGTTACGCGAAAGTCAAAGGTCAGCGACCTTTGACCTGACAAGTACAGCGCGACAGCAAGGACACACAACTGACTCGTTACAAAGCAGTTGCCCAAGTCGTCACAGTATCGAACCGCAACAGCAACAGTAAAGTAGTTATAACTAAGTCTTTTCATATTTCTTGTACTCATATATAATCTTGTATCTCTTTGCTTTAATCAATCAACTTTGCCCTCACATACTAGCGCAAGGTGGTTCACAACTCTTCATTAAACGCTTCCGCTACTACCGTATACTCCTGGACAAAACACCCCCCCATAATTGTACACCCCCGGGTAGCTTGTGCGGGGTGGGTGTTATGATAGACCTCGTTTCTACTATACCCCCCTTTTTGGCTGATTTTCTATAACACCCCCCTTTTCTTACGGATTCATTATTATAGTCGTTAACGAGTAGCTGAAATACGGAAGAATATCGTGTGAATTTCTCCCTCAATGAAATTTCGCGGTACATTCAAAGGCAATCTGCCGAGATTTGCCCCCTCCCACTATTTCTCTGTTGCCACGTGCAGGTGAATCTTCCGTTGCAAGTGGCAAGAGAGGTGTCACATGGCATTTTCGTGAGGGCGATGAAGTTCGAGGCCGAAACTGACATTCGCGCCTCAGGCAGTGATGCTAAAACGACCAGCAAAACACCCACATTGACTAATTAAAAAAACACTAACACTAAAATATGCCATATGTAAAGACCCGGGTATTATGTATTTTTTTCCTATGAGGAGACCCCCCCCCCCATTTTTTCCCTGTATTTTTAGCTATACCCTAGGGTGTTATGTCCGGGAGAATACGGTACATCAGTTCTACCCAGAGTTCACCCCTGCAAAGATCCTAAGGGCTATTTTTTCTCAGCCCAACATATAAATGATAACCAGCAAAGATTCTTCTGTTGCCAATCCTGGCATCAGAGTAACTCTGGTCTGAACTGGAATGGTTGGAGCAATGGCCATCTCAGCAAGGCCCTGAATCTGATGGTTAGGGGGATACAGATCTGAAATACCGCACGGTACCGTACCATGCATATCTTGCAAAAGCTCTACATGCAGGGCAATACTACCGCAACACACTTTTTTCACACCTTCATGTGCCACAACCTCGAAACGTGCAATGATGGAATGTGTGTGGTGGATATGGTTCCATTTGGTAGCCTCGCCTCGTTGCGAAAAAACCTTTTTCCAGTAAGGCAAAATGGAAATAGATATATTGTATGACAACATTGAACCCCGTGATAGATAATACGTTATTCCTCAAAATGACAGAGGTACCTAAATTGGAAGTGGTGTAGTAATGTGGTATGATGTGTAGCACATGATAACCTGCTTTGTGTAATTTGTGTCGCAACACAATAGATACCTCATGTACATGCATATAAATATGTGTTTGGAAGCATTTAACACTCCCGTAAGTAATTGTGCCTTGTATACTGCGTGTTGAGATACAATATTTGACATAGTAATATATTTTAAAAGCTTCTTGAATCTAGGTACACTTCGATATATCCTTTAATGTGCTGAGTCATCCCTCGTTTCCGTGACAATCGTTGTGGTTGGCGAACCCTCGCATATCTTGAGGGGACTGACCTGCTCAACTTTCCTGGTTGCGGATTGTCGGGGCGAACCCCAGCGAGCCCTCGCATTGGTCGAGCTGGCACATTATCTGCTCGCCGATTTCTCCCATTCGATCCTGACACTAGCGATGGATCTCCTGGGCTGCCCCCGTGTGACCTTTCGCCGCGACACGGCGGACCCTCCCTGATCCTCAGACCTCCTGAATTACCTCTCCTTGCAACCCCCAATCTTGGAGTCGTTGACGAACCCAACCCAACTTTCAGTGTACCCCAGCTTCTCCTGCTGTACACTGCATCAGAAGCCATGGCTGCCGTCGTCGCCTCCCACACCGTTGCGGCTGTTGCCAGCTCCGTCGTGAGCAAGTCTGCCTTCTCCGGCAAGAAGGTTCGCTCCGTCAAGGTTGCTGCTGCTCCCCAGAAGGTTGCATTCAGCGTGTCCGCAGATGCCGACAGGCCCCTGTGGTTCCCTGGCAGCACCCCTCCCGCTCACCTTGACGGCACCTATGCTGCTGACTTCGGCTTCGATCCCCTTGGCCTTGGTTAGTCTCTTATTCCTGCACTAAACATTTCGAAATTGTTTAGTTATATTCATTACGGATTGTTCAATTATTTATGTGCTTACGTTTCCTCCATTTTATCCCATTCTCCTGCAGCCTCCGACGATGTCAACTGGTACGTCCAGGCTGAGCTCGTCCACTGCCGCTGGGCCATGCTCGGTGCCGCTGGCGTTCTGATCCCCGACGCTCTCCGCGTTGCTGGTCTCCTCGACATCCCCCGCTGGGACATCGCGGGCGTCGCCGACTACGGCATTGACTGGCGTGTGCTGCTGGCTGTTGAGATCGCCGCTTTCGGCTGGGCTGAGGGCAACCGCTGGGCTGACATCATCAAGCCTGGATCCGTGAGGTAAGGCTGGCTGCATGGTTTTACATGGTTTTACTTAGTTACCACTGCTGGACATTTTTCCCCTAGTGCTGGTCCCTAACGGTTGTTATTTGCGGTTTGCAGCGAGGACCCCATCTTCAAGGGCAACAAGGTGAAGGGTACCGATGTTGGCTACCCCGGCTTCGACCCCCTCGGCATGGGCTTCGGTTCACCCGCTTACGTGAAGGACATCCGCTCCAAGGAGATCAGGAACGGCCGATTGGCTATGCTTGCTAACCTTGGCTTCTGGGCCCAGGCTGCTTACACCGATGCCAGCCCCGTCGAGAACCTGTTGAACCACCTCGAGAACCCCGGCTTCAACAACTTCGCGCACAACGCCATGGTGAGCATTTCACTTGCGGTATTAATGCAATCGTACACTCTTGCTTACGTAAGTTCCCCTAACGATTTTTTCGTGTGTGTGTGTGTGTGTGTGTTTTCCCTGTGGTGACTGCAGTCCGTGTTCTATTGAGCTGGGTTTAAGTCCGGTCCCTAGAACTGGATGTAAAGCAGTGTGCATAATATTAATGAATTTTTCTTAAATTCAAACCTTGTTGCTTACATCAGCTAAATTTGGCAAAGAACTGTTGCATAATGTTTTGCACCAGCGTCCTTGCCGAGTTCTCCCCCCTTATAGTGCCATGTAGACAGGATGTCTGCCTTTACTTCATACCAAAAACTGTCCAATTCTCAATTCTTAGCAACAAGAATTCTACTCAATGCTCATGACCAGGGGAAATTTTATCAGGGTGGTTTGTGGGTGTCACACTGATGGCCCCGGGTAATTTTTTTAGGAGCTAGTTTTACCATGATGAACCAGGGTTTACATTTATGTCACACTGATGCATAAGGGTTTCCGGATCCCATAACGAGTTTACCCTGAAACGAGTACCCTACCCCCCCCCCCCCCCCCCCCCCCCCCCCCCTTCCCTCGCCCCCCAGTACCCCCACCCCCCCTTTCCCGTAACCCTGGAATCCCGATTGACAAGTGTCGAAGCCTGATTTTCGGCCTTGACAGCGCATGTGCTGGCACACATTGGGCCACCATTGGCCAGGCTTACAGTTTCTTGGTATTGAGTGCAAGTATAAAAACTAGTGAACAGGGTTTGTTTTTTATGAACACTGATGCGCCAGGGTATATTTTTCCAAAACGGGGAAAACCCTGATGGGAAA